TTTTCTGATATTATAAATACAGTCATTCGTGCGCTTATTCTGTGTTTGACTGATTGATGCAAATTTCTTAACATTACAGCACATACTGTATAATACAATATATAATTTATATATATATATAGTATTGTTGTAGTATATTCTGGTGTTAAAACTCTACATTGAAGTCATATCCATTGGAAGCCATATAAGAGTAGTGCCAACAATAAAGAGAAAAAGTTTTTCAATACAATGTCTGACCAAATATATTGAATGGTTTGGGCCTAAAATTTGCACGCAATCCATAAATAGAGTTTTTGATGGAAATCCTAAAACATTTGTCCAATATATTGTGAATCTCTTGTATTAACCAAAAGACTAAATCATATAAACAGACATTAAACACATACACATACACATACACATACACATACACATACACATACACATACACATACACATACACATACACATACACATACACATACACATACACATACACATACACATACACATACACATACACATACACATACACATACACATACACATACACATACACATACACATACACATACACATACACATACACATACACATACACATACACATACACATACACTTTAAGCAATATATAGTTTTTGCTTTTATATAACTTAGTGCTCCGGAAATTGTTTGCTGAAAATACATTATCATTAACATTACCTAACACTGACATAACAGTACCGTTCAGTCATTTGAGTTGATTTTATACATACATTTTCATTTACTATATGAGTTCAATAGAATATACACTATATTTAATAATTTTATATATATCTGTCCTTAAAATGACTGCTATTTTCGATAATATGTACATCAATAATAGGCTTAACTTATGCATGATATATACAGTATATATAATAAATTTATTATTTTATCAAAATTTACTTCATTTACTTAAATTCAAATTTATATATTAGTAATTCATGTAATACAAGTTTTAAAAGAAGTAAAATTACTTCATTTATATTAAAATCAATACTTTTATGTTATTTTTATATACTATTTATGCCTCTAATCGTTTGTATTGTAACTAATTTCATAGTTTGGTCTTTTAATTTTAGATGATTTATAAGAAAAACTTTTTTCTTTAAAAATATTTATTATTATTATTTGTATTATAAAATTGGTAAATAACTATATAAATTATATGATGCTTTTTAACTAATAATAAAAGTTAAATTGGCATAGTCATTATTTGTGCACATTTGAAAATGTACATTTAAATTAATGAGTTTTTATATTTAAGAAAATATGTTTTATAAACATTATATATTTATAATAAAAAAACCTTTTTAACTTTATATATTTTGTAGAATATTCATTTAAATGTATTTAATTTGTTTTATATTATATATAATATTATTTAATATCTATACATTAACAATCAATTTTCTATACAATCTGAGTAATGTGTAAAAACTTTTTATTTAACTAAATTGTCGACAATAGGAGATTAGTTTGTTTCCCAAATAGAATTTAAACATTTATATAATTATCTTAAAATCATAAGTAAAATCATAAAAATAATTTTGTTTTTATCATATGATACAGTCGAGGATGTAAATATTTAAATATCTCATGTGACTAAAAAGTTAATTTTATTAAATCAATTTAATTTAGATAATATTTATATTAAGAATAATATTTTGGTAATAATGATAAAATGACAAACTTTTAATTTAAATGCTTGAATGTAATTTCTAATGAAAGAAAAAGCAAATGAAATCAGTAAAATCATCACTGATTTTTTACTGTCATATATTATGTATCTTTAATATACTTTTAAATATATATTAGCTATATTATACTGTAGAATATATAACTATATATAATACTAGGTAATTGAAAAACAGTATATACTGTATATACTTTATATAGAGATAATGTACATAAAGATAATAATAGTACAGTATATATGTATAAAAGTATATTATGATAATGATTGACAAAAGGCAACTCAAATTATGACTATTTTTTGAAAAGTCAGTCAATAGCTGTTTACTGTATTTGTAGTATTACTATATTATCATTAAATAGGACTCCAATGACCGCTTCGGCTATTTTTTGCCAAAGAATATACTGAAGAAAACAAAGAATTACTTTAATGTTAGTCTTATTAGTGAAACATCAAAATAGATTGCAATGATTTTTAGATCACAAATAATGTTTTTTTTTGCCATCTTTTTGTAAAATGTGAGTCCAATAATGCATTTTTTCTTTATTTCATTCAATGTTGACATTGAAACTTATATTATATCCAAACTTGTCTTCGTTTAAGTTAAACAAAGATAAAGAAATATTTGTTAGGAATTTGTGTAATAATTTTTGAACTCAGTTTGCGCACAGTTAGGTTAGTTTAGTCTGAATTGAGTGATGCTTTTAGAAATGACACATTATATTTTTGTTAAACTATAATAACAAAAGTACTCAAACTTTAAAAAATATAATATATATATATATATATATATCTTTAAATTTAGTCAATCGATTGAAAAAATGAGAGAAGAAGAGTGGGGAGAGTGTGTAGTATTTATATATGTGAGACAATACATGTGAGTACAGTAACCATAAGTAATATAACCTTTCGTTATTAGCCTCCATAGCCCTTGAGCTGTGCCAACACTAGTTTAGGTTTAAAGCCATACATTTTTATAGATTACTTTAAATTTTATTCGTCTCCATCTCTATGTATATATAAAGTATATATATAATCATTATCTTTGAATGTTTTTTCTTTGACTTTTATCATATTATATATTTGTTGATCACTGAATGCCATTTTTCTAGACTGTCATTAAAATAGATGGAAAACAATCTTAACATTAATAGTCAAGAAACACATTTCAAATATATATTATATCATATATTAAACAAATATACCATATTATATGCCTGTTTTATAGTTTTTATTTGTTTCTTTAATACTAATAATCAATTGTTGTGATTTTTTCAACCATTTATTTATTTATTTAGTTATTTCCCACTTTTATTGGTATAAAATTGCATTTGTTTATTGAATTTATTTCTATTATACCATTTCCTTTATTGAATATGTTATACAATAGTATTGGCAAAATAGTATTAAAATGTCTTATTATAGGCATTACTTGTCATTTGATGAGCTTATTTGAAGACACAAAACAAATGCTTAATTCACAAATATATATATATATATATATATTATTTTTTTGAGAGCTCATTAAAAATAAGATCGATTTTATATTTTTTTATATTTTTTGGACTGACATCATATATATATTAGGATACTATATTATACTGTGTATAAACAATAATAACAAATGGGTTTTATATAAAAAATGTTTTTATCAGTTTCGAGACAATAAAAACAATGAGAAAAGGGATTCAAATCTAACAAATAAAGACTTTTGTCTGTCTAACTCTTGAAAAACAAAATAAAGTAAATAATCTAAAACTACATTTAAAATTATTGTAAACTGCAATTCATTAGTTTTTTTTAAACATTTTCAAAAATACTGTACTATATATATATGTTTTGTTTTATTATTATTGGATAGGTTTTATAAAACCTTGTACTTACAACACAACAATAACTCAATATATTTTAATAAATAAATTTCTCTTCAATACCGATAAAGAAAAAGTCTTTTAGTATATATTTTTTAAGAAACGATGAGAAATATTAGGGAGAAATCCGTGTTAAGTCACAAAAATAACAATTTTTCGGATAAAATATACCCAATTTTTTTATCACATTTAAAACTGTTTGTTTGCCTAAACATACATTTAAAGCATAATATATACAGTATATACACTATTGTATTTGATAATATAATAATATTTTTTTCTTCAGTCGTATTCAATATAAAGATATTTTTTAAACGTCATAATTTTAGATCTAAAAATAATATTTTTAAATTGTTTTATCTCATTAATACAGTACTGTTAATGCATTTTCATTATCAAATTTAGAGTTATTGTTTGATTTTAATGGAAATTTCTGTATATATTGCAATAAATTCATACAAAAAATATAACATTTTGAAGATGAGATAACTTTGAGCTTCAGTTGTGTTTAGTTGAAAACATTTGCTTACATTAAAAATAAGAGAGACTTTGAGAAAACAGGAGATAATGCGAAAGAGTATATACAGTACTAATGGATGTGATGTTAGGCCCAAATGAGAATCGTTCTCAAGTGAAACAAAAAAAACAATTTTATCATTTAATGGCTTATTGTATGAAATTGAGGTTTCGATTGATTGCGTTAAGTATTTGCTTCTGTATTACAATTACCGATTAATACAGTGATGGTTACAACAGTGCCACAGTCATAGCGCCAAAATATTTTATACAAAATTACTAAACACTAACTTATAAACTTATTTTGCTATGGATTTTACTCAACTCATCAGTATATTATTGGCACTCATTTAAAGCTAAACTTAATTTCTAATCTTTGACTTTCACTATATTATTATAGATTAGATCTTTGTCTACAATATATTGGATATTCACTAACAATACTATAATTCTTCACATATGTCATCATCTTTTATATCTCTTTTATTCTTTTTTCTCTCTTTTTATTTTTTTGTTACTTTTTAACTTAGAGTAAACCAAAATATTAAATATAAATTTAATGGAAAGATAAAATGTCAATTTACCTGAAAATAATGCATTAACAAAGCATTAAGCTATCAATACTAAAAATAAAATTCATTTTGATATGTAATATATCAGTATTATTTTAGATTTAATCAAAATATTAGATTTCTGTGTTTGTTTAAAAGTTATTATAATCTACTTTATATCTAATTTTGTATTTCCACAGTAATGAGCATCTAAATAAAAATATTAATATTTAATTTCATGTTTTAGAAAAATATATTGTATAATTTAAATTATATATTGTGCACAAACAATATAATGTTATTATAAATTTTAATAAAAATATTTTTTATAAAAACTAATTTATATTATTTTAAATTATTTTTTAGATGTGATGTAAAATTTTGTTATTCAAGTGGAAGAAAAAGACAATTTATTTGAAGACCATTTTTAGGTGAGTTTATATTATGTACTTAAAGAATATTTTGTCGATTCAATTGCCTTCAAATGCTTTATCTATGCTTTTATAAAATTTACACTTAAAATAAATGAGATTCATTTTTTTGTGTCTCAATATAAAAATATCATATTAAAAATTATATTTAAAATGTGTGTTTGCCTTTTATTAAGCAATAGTATAAAAAACTACTAAATTATAACATAATTTAGTCAGACAGTGCATATTTTGTAATATATTGTACTTATTTTGTATTTTATTTTAAAATATATAATATTTGTGTTATAAAATATGTTTTGAATGTTTGGAAATATTTAAAAAATATATTTTAAAGAAAAAATCTTATGGATAATAAAATAGGAATTCATATGTAAAAAATAAAGTTTTTTTAAAAAGATTATTATCCACTGAGAATTGGATCAAAATTTTGATGTATTGATATATGAATTAAACAAAATATTTTTCATCTATTATTGCAAAAAACAACATTTGGGGTACAAAAATGACACAATGTTTAAATTGAAAATTCAGAATTTAATCCATGTTTTTTATGTCAATAATTTTATATGTATTCACACGTTCATACAATACTGTAGTTTTAAGATTTATTATTTTTATTTTTCTCTAAACATCAATATATACAAAAAAAAGAGTGAGTGTCGCGACAACAGAGCACAGGAGGTGATGGCAGTCCTCATCACAACATTTTATTTTGCTTAGTTGTCATTCTTGATATACTATATTATATAAAACAACATATATATATACATACATACACATATACACACATACACACATACACACATACATACATACATACATATACATACATACACATACATACATACACATACATACACATACATACACATACATACACATACATACACATACATACACATACATACACATACATACACATACATACACATACATACACATACATACACATACATACACATACATACACATACATACACATACATACACATACATACACATACATACACATACATACACATACATACACATACATACACATACATACACATACATACACATACATACACATACATACACATACATACACATACATACACATACATACACATACATACACATATATACACATACATACACATACATACACATATATACACATACATACACATACATACACACACATAAATAAATACACTCACACATACAATGTTTTTAAAATCTCTCTCTCTCTCTCTCTCTCTCTCTCTCTCTCTCTCTCTCTCTCTCTCTCTCTAACTTGTCGTACGACTGTATGTGTGTTTAGGTCGGACTCATAACTCCATTGAGGATTAAATAGAATTTTGCAAAAACACACAACTGTAAGGTCTGATAGAAACTGTATGTTATGTTAGGAAAGACGATATTTGAAGGGCGGCTCTAATCACAAGTGTATGCCTCACATAACTTTCATAATAACTTTAGATATACTCTGCAACTGAACAAGTTTTTCAAGCAAACTATTGCATTACATATACTCTTTATAACCAGTGCTTCAATAGTCCACTGAGATTGTCAAAGACATCTAGTCTTTAACACCGTGTGTATGTGTGTATGTGTGTATGTGTGTATGTGTGTATGTGTGTATGTGTGTATGTGTGTATGTGTGTATGTGTGTGTGTATGTGTGTATGTGTGTATGTGTGTATGTGTGTGTGTGTATGTGTGTGTGTATGTGTGTATGTGTGTATGTGTGTATGTGTGTATGTGTGTATGTGTGTATGTGTGTATGTGTGTATGTGTGTATGTGTGTATGTGTGTATGTGTGTATGTGTGTATGTGTGTATGTGTGTATGTGTGTATGTGTGTATGTGTGTATGTGTGTATGTGTGTATGTGTGTATGTGTGTATGTGTGTATGTGTGTATGTGTGTATGTGTGTGTGTATGTGTGTATGTGTGTATGTGTGTATGTGTGTATGTGTGTATGTGTGTATGTGTGTATGTGTGTATGTGTGTATGTGTGTATGTGTGTATGTGTGTATGTGTTTATGTGTGTATGTGTGTATGTGTGTAAAAACTAAAGTCAATATACTTTTTTAAAAGTTAGTGTCCATCTTATAACTAAAAAGTATATTTCGAATAGTAGTCTATCATTCAAGTGCTAAACATAATAAACTAGTATTGTTTTGTTATATCATTGAATAAGTGAAAATACATTATAAAATTAAAACATTAAAAAATCATATACCATAGTATAGCTTACAATTTATTATTTTAATAAAATACAATAACCTTTTTATAGAATATTTATATTTCGGAATTCAAAATATCACCAATAAGTGTGTGTTTTATCAAATACAGTAAACCGATAATAAAATACTAAATTTAGTGCAATAGAAGACATCTATTAAAAAAGATATACAACTATATTATATAGATATAGTTTATTTAATGTATTTATTGATGTAAACTTTTTAGCCAATTATGTATTAAAAAGATTTTTAAAATACATTGTTTATCTAATTTGAAGATTAATTAAAGAAAAATATGTTTTTAAAACATTAATCATTGAAAAGTTTTGTATAATAAAATTTTTAATTATTTTAATAAGTGGTACAAAATTATGGGTCCTTAAGTTTATTAAATTTTTATGAATATTACATAGTATTTAATTTATCTATTAGTATTTTGATTTTAAATAAAATTTATTTTCATTAGTGAAAGAATCCAATTATGACAAACTGGTGCCATATATTTTAAGTGAAATTTATAAATTAAATTTTATATTGCAAACAATTGTGTAATAAACAAAATTAAAAATAATATAATAGAACTATACATTACTAAATAGTATTAATTTATTATTTTAAATTATTTTTATTAAAACTTAATACAAACTAGAGTATTAAAAATAAATAAATAAATTTATAAAAGTTTATTAAACTATATAAATTATTTAATGATTAAATGATCTGAATCAAATAAAATTCAAAATAAAATATAAAAAACTATAATTTCAATTGTCAAATACAGTAAATATTAAATAAACAAAATATTATGTATTAAAAATTATTGTTTTTATAAAAATAAAATTTAATGATTTATTTAAATATTAGATATATATATAATCTAAATTTAATGTAATGCTAAAATACTATATAAAAATGTACAAATACATCTATTTTTTATACAAGTATGAAAATGTTACTTGCTAGTTTAACTGTCATAATTTACGATGTTACAGCTATTAATATAAAATATATCAACAAACAAATACAATAATTTTTTATTAGTAAAACTTATAAATATAATATTTTTCGAATTTTTATATCACTTTTTATAATGTGTTTATATATATTAATTTATAATATAATATTTTATTTCTTAAAAGTTTACATTATTTTGTATTTTATCTTTAGTGTATTACAAAATATAAGCAAAGAAAAGATTAAAAAATCAATTTCCTAAAAATAATAGATAATTACATTTATATTATATATACTATATATATATTATATATAGTGTATATATATTTATATTATATATAGTGTATATATATTTATATTATATATAGTGTATATATATATTTATATTATATATAGTGTATATATATATTTATATACAAAATATAAACCCAACAAAACATGACATAAAATAATCAAAAATACTGTTTCTAACATTTCAACAGTAAATTAGCAAATGATTTACACAAAGACAGAGACAATGTATTTAATATACATTTTATTTAAATCTCATTTGATTTAGTTTTGAGATATAAAACAGTTTATTATGTGAAGTGTTGTATTTGTTATGCGAGCCAAACACAGAAAGTCAGTGTATTTGAGTTGCAAACAAATTAATCAAACAATTTTAACTTAATTACTATTAGTTGCACATCACTTCATCTTTCTATTTGGTGACTTAAATTTAGAGTTGAAATAATTAAAGATTTAACAATTTATATGAAAAGTTTCTAGAAAGTTTCTCTATTAATATACTTAAATATTTGTTATTATTTATATATACCATATGAACTATATAGTCATAATCTAATGTTTTTAATTAACTAAATAATTTAAAATAAATATAACATTTATTTGATTATAGATAATATTAAATACAACAAATTATAAACAGGAAAGTTAGTGATACAGTTTTTATAATTTTCAGTTATGTATTATTAAAAACGTTTTATATTTTAGAAAATTTTATATAAAAAAATAAAATGATAATTTGATTATATAAAATAATATTATCATAGTATTGAAGAATTGTTGTACTATATTAGGAAATTTAATAGAAACTTTATGTTAAATTTCCATTTAATTTTTCGCAAATGTGAGTAATTATTATTTTTCAACATTATTTCCTATTTGTATTTCGTTATTGTCTTTTCCAAATGAAATAACGGCTCAAACTGTATTTAGTCCTATTTTAGTACAGTTTAGTTTAAATTAAGATAAAAGTTACGATTGAGATCTCTCTAATGATAAAACATTATAATCAACTTCAATGGACACTAAATTTTTGAGTTAACAAAACAATATTTTTTAAAGATTTAATACTTAAATATATTTTTTTATTAAATGTTCATTTTTGGCAATATATCAGATATTAATACTTTAATTATAAATGAAGATATTACTAGTACTGTATTTATTACTAAATAAAATTGTAATTATATAAATATAAGTTTTATATTAAAAGTAAATAATTATAATAATCGTCATACAATTAAATTCATGTTTTAAATTATTTTATATATAACAAAAGTAAAAATATGTTATACATAACAAATAATTTATTGTATGAATTYATTATAAAATTTTATTTTTTACAAAAATGATAAAAACAATTTAGTTTTTATCAACAAGTTTTTTACTCTTTTAAAATATACTTTTTGACCCATAATTATTATAATACTTTACGTTACTTAAGGTCACTTAAAAAACTTTTCAAAATAGTAGAGTATAATGTATTGCATTAGTAATACATTAATTTATATCATATTCAAAATATAACACAAATGATTAAAATTATCTAAACTTAGGTTAAATTGCTATTCAAGTGTTAATCTGGTAATACTTGACTTGACATTTTAAATTGATTTTATTTTTGATATTATACTACAATTACATAAATTAATTTAAAAATATTTTGACTATTTTTTAAAAATATTTAATTTAAATTGAAACTTTTTAAGCAAATATTTTGTAATACTGTACAACAATAAGACATACTTATTAAATATCATTCTTCATAATAATAAAAAATAATAACAATTTTTATCAACAAAACAAGTTTTTTGAATTAAGTGACTAAAACTGTAATAATATATATTTTTGATTGACTAAAATGATATGTTTATGAATACATATACAATATTAAGTAAAATTATATATTCAATAAATCCTTGATATTCATTCAAAAGGAAAGAAAATAAAATCAATAAAAAGTCTCTCATAAATGAAAATTGTATTTATATTTCGGTTTATTAAAGCACACAATAAGCCTCTCATTATAATAATATAAAATACTTTGAATGTTGTAAAAAATAATTATAATGATTTGAATTTATTCAAAAATTTGTTAATAGTGTATTAAAATCGATTTAATTTGAAAGTTTATTTACTATTATATCAATAATTTTCATAAAATGCCCGAAGAAAGAGAAATATATATATTAGAAGAAAGACAGCAACTATTAGACAGTAACTATAAGACAGAAATTTGAGAGAAGATATCAAAACACAGAAAAAACAAATGATTTAAATTAATAGTATTAATAAGTTTTATGTTGAATCAGCTTTACATTCAAATTACGGTATATTCATTGCAAAACAGCTCTAAACTTGCTTTTGGGTTATCATTTGAGAGTATAAAAAGCACCGATCGTTTTAGGGCTTGACTTCTCATTATAAACCATCAGACAATCCCTTAGCCCACACACACACACACATATATATATACATGTATATACTATACAACAAAATACACAGTCATTTACAGACATAACACATTCAGACAACACATCAGGTTTTAGATTTTTGAGTATTAGATTTTACAAAAATGTTATACAAAAACAACAATATTATTGATTAAACAATAGCTTATGAATTATTTTCTTAAAAAAATAACTCTCATTATAGTATTTTAATAAACTAATACTTAAGACTAATTTTACAGTAATACATTACACTTTAATCGCATGTAAAATGCATATTAAATATTATTATATAAAATTTTTTTATATTTAAATACTTATACAAAACATACCATACATTCAAAAACATTAACAGACACACACATACAGTATATACTGTATATATATATAATATGACTATATTTCGAAAATTTTACAAATCTTTTTATTGTTTAATAATATTATTGACTTATACTGCACTAGTTTTGCATCGATTTTATATCATTTATAAGTAGAGTATTATATATATACTACTGTATAAATATATTTATATAGATAATACAATAGTCTTTTAACATTTTCTCATAAAGTGTGAAATCAATGGAAATAAACTAAGGCTTTAACATACATTACAACACAATAATACGGATACAATTTTATGTTATTAAATACAAATTGTGGTTTAGGGTATATAATAAATTATATTTTGTGTAAAAAGTTAATATTGATTACAAAATATAGTGTAATTTAATTGAATTGAATTACAAATATATCGCAAAGTGTAGGCTATAATAAAAACAAATGAGTTTCGAGTAAAACAGTCTAACAAACAAATCAAATCATCCCTACAAATGACTTATTCATGAAAGACAAGATTGATGTTTATTATTATCTAATATTTTTTGCAATATTTACTTTTTTTAACAAACATACACATGTTGTTTGTAAGATTTATATTAATGTTAATCATATGAAATATTTAATAACTTAAAATAGTTTTATCAAATAATGTATTATTTAGCATATGTAAAGTTATTTATTATAAAGAAAAAGTACTAAAATACTAAAAGACTGTATTGTAATCAATGTCATCGAGTGATTACAGTATAATATTGTACGTATATAGGTATGCTATGATAAAGTTTATATTTATAAAAAATAATTAATTGTTATAAATTAATAGTTATTTAATTAGAATTAGATAAATTTAATAATTATGAAATATAAAATATAATAAGCTTACTGAACTGAACTTATAAAATATTTTACAATATTAAAAAATACAAAAGTCTATATTATTAATTATTTCTGATAGTTTATAATTATTATAATATATTTTAATATTTATAAATGTAATTTTGCTGACAATATCAACTGTTTTGATTGTGTTTGTGTAAACATTTTTTATGACATRTTTATGTAACAATAATTTTATAAACTACAAAAATTTCTTTAAATATTTTTTAATAAGTTAAAACTGCTAGCAATGTATATGTTGTGTAAATATCGATATATATAATAGTACTCTAAATATCAATAATGTAAATACATTGTAAAAACAATAGCATTCAACAAAATTGAACCATAAAATTGATTTTTTATTTTCCTTACATTTTGTTTCATTTTTGTACTCATGTTATGTTATTTCACTTAAACTGATATATTCAATATACAATATTCAATATACAGTATATACAAGAATTTAATTTAAATCTAAATTAAATAAAATAATTTTAATGAACTGGATATTTAAAAAAAATCTATTGCGATTTAATTAATTTTCTATGTATGAAATGTAATTATGTTGATATTAATAATTAAATTGTTTAAATATATATTTATTTAAACTTATACTTTTAAGGTTAAGCAAATATACCATTAAAATGTAATGATGTAAGCATTTTGTTGTCAAAACAGATAAATGAGACGCAAATAGAAAGTTTACAAAAAAAATCTCATCAAAAAACCAGTGTTTTCTTATTATTATATATACTTTATATATATGTACAGTATATACAACAGTTTTAACATAAAAAATTGTTATACTCTTATTATAGTTAGAGATCTCATTCATGAGTAAAGTAACTCTTGATGTGTTTTCATCTTTTAGTTGAAACGTTGAAACTTTAAAAAATTGTTGTGTTTTGCATATAACAAGCAAATGAAGCCGAAAGGGTCGGTCGGTTTGAGTATATTTCCTTGAAATGCATTTATGGCATAAAATATATAACATATTCTTACTTTTATTGCTTATTTTTCTTTTCAATAAAAAAGTAAATTCTTATTTAATTTTCATTCAAGTAAAATTTTTGTTGTATAATATGTGTATAATATTAAAATCATATATAAAGTAAAGTAAAATATAAATATATATAATGTCTATAAAACCTAAATATGTATATAAAAGAATAAATCACTAAAATATTATTCACCAAAACTGCGATATTTTTTCCTCAATGTATTCTGTGCTATGCATTGCTTATGATTGATATAAATAAACATAAATACAATAAAGACTGCAAAGAGAAGAAAATAGGAGAGAAAACACAAAATTTATATGAATTTATATTCTTATATCCTATACATTCACTAACTGTATATTTGCTGTATATTACAGTAAGTAATAGGAAAAAACTTTTTATATATTTGGTCATAAATAACATATTTCATTGCTTTTATATACTGAATATAAATTACATATATATAATGTGTAATTTATATATAGTGAGAGAGAGAGAGAGAGAGAGAGAGAATAGCATAAATTTAAGGCGAGGTTCACTTTTATTTGATATTTTCTCTTTTTATATATTATATACATATTATTCAAAATAACATTCCATTGTAGTTATAATATAATATATAAGATAAATATACAGAATAGGCATATTAAACATACAAAAATTCAGTACTTATAATGCTTTTATTTGATTTTTGTTTGCGTGACACTTATTGATAAAGTATAATTAAAGCTATAATTTTTGCGTTTAGTTTTACATATTTTGTAACAAATATAGTTCACATTTTTTTGATAATTTAAAATAGTAAAAAATTATTTGTTATGGTTTAACAAATATTTAAAGGTGAAACACGTTTATACTGTTATGAATTGACTAAACGTCAAATAAATCTCATTTTTAATATAAAAGATTTATAAATTTATATATAATATATAACATGTATTTTATGTATTATCAAAAATAAATTTATATATAAATCCGGGCGAATATATTAAAAACTGAACAAATTATATAAAAAAATATTCAAAATCTGTGTTTAAATATTATGAAAGTTATATACTGTATTAAAGACGCTTATTATTAGTTTTTACTCAACTCTTTTACTGTTAATTCTCTCTCTCTCTCTCTCTCTCTCTCTCTCTCTCTCTCTCTTTCATTTTTTCACTCATAATGTGAATATAGTTTATAATTAAAGTGGCAAAAAATATTGACTTACTTTTATGAGCCATAATGAAAGTTTGGTATTATTTCTTATGTTAGGAAAAAATATTATTAAATCTGCTTATTTCTCTTAACACTAAATGATAGTGTAATATATGAATGTGTAAATCATTATAAATTGACATAAAATACTAGTAGTAGCAAAATATAACATAAAACATTTGGCATATACGGTATATCGTATATACAGTAGAACTGTGTATCTATATAGCAGTGATTTGTTTGGTGAAAACCCATTCAATCCATATGTTGTATTACTTTTTAGTTTTTTAAATAAAATTATGTCTTAAACATACAAGTGCTATACAATGCTTTATATATCTATATATTTATTACATTAATACAAAACAGTATAGAATATAACATATATTGTATTACTGTATATTATAACATTGGCATTGATTCTCATTTACATTAGGGAAGTGTATTTAGCCTTGTTATGCAAATAAATATTATAATATAATGCCTAAAATGCTTTATATAACATTAAGTATTGATTTTGTACTCAAATGAGATTTTAATTTTTGTTTGTTATTTCTATTTAAAGGATTGTATTAAAGTCCAACAAAATTTGTGGCACTGGGATATGGGTTATGTGTTTTTCATAACTGGTAACACTCCAGTACTTCCTGAAGGGTTTTTGTTTAATAATTAATGTTTTGCTTTTGGGTGCTAACCAACAGTGGTTTAGTTTCACTGGACTTAAACATAACTCAATACTGGGTGTCACTTAAACACAAAATATTGAATGAAAGAGTCACTGATAGTAAAGGTATTGATTATAAATGTAATTTTAATATTTGTTTGATCTATAAATAGAAATTCTTTATATACAAATCATGCGCTAATATTTTATCTAAAAGTGTAAAGTTAGTTATACAAACATTTTAAATTTAAGACACAATAAATTTGGTTAACAAATATATATTTTTTAATAAATTTTTATTAGCCTTTGGGCTCATTCTTTAATACAAACTTTATATAAGAAAAGTTTGTTTTATATATTAAATAAAATATTTTAGGTATAAATGTTAGTCAGAATTGAATGAATGAGTGAATGAATGAATGAATGAATGAATGAATGAATGAATGAATGAATGAATGAATGAATGAATGAATGAATGAATGATATATATATATATATATATATATATATATATATATATATATATATATATGTTTCATGAATCCGGAGATCTTTTTTTGCGCAAAAACAATATATTTGATAAAAACACGAAAATAGTTGTGTGTATCTGTGTGTGTGTGAGCTAAAGTAGGAACTGAAAACCTGCCTGTTCTCTAGTAGTCATGGATACGGTTGTGTGCGTGAATGCGGCACTAGGTTTCCAACATTTATTGCGAAGCACACCATACACACTGTACATAACACTACGACAGGGATGAAGAGGTAGGTGTGCCTCGACTGTAATGCCGTCACCGACTGCAACGATACCAATGCATCTCTGCTGACTCTCTCTCTCTCTCTCTCTCTCTCTCTCTCTCTCTCTCTCTCTCTCTCTCTCTCTCTCTCTCTCTCTCTCTCTCTCTCTCTCTCTCTCTCTCTCTCTCTCTCTCTCTCTCTCTCTCTCTCTCTCTCTCTCTCTCTCTCTCTCTCTCTCTCTCTCTCTCTCTCTCTGTCTGTCTGTCTCTCTCTTCTCTCTTTCATTTTATCTTATACTCACTTCTCCCAAATTTTCTTTATTTTATTGAGCGTTCATTCATTTGTAAGTTTTAATAAATTCATGGCTTTTTCATCTAAAAACAACTTTTTTGAAATAGTTATCCATCTTTTTGGATCTCATTTTTGTTGTACTAAATATAAAAACAATGTGCTATAAAATTACAATAAAACATTACATTTGTGTTTGTGTTAGTAATAGTCATTGAATGGCATATTTTTGAACTGAAGTTATTGTTTGAGAGAAGTAATGTTAATAAGAATATTGTGATTACATATTATTATTATTATTAATATACGAGACATTTGTTTGGTGTGTTTTCATGTATTTTCAATGACTATTTCATATCCATCCCTAAGTGATACCAATATTGTTGTGATCTATAGCTCGATAACTAATTCAGTCTTTGTTTCTCTCCGTAGTCTTTGTTCAGATAAGATGCGATACACACAACACATACACAGCTTGAGTACAGTTTGTGTGGTTTGATTGCAAATTGCATTTACGAGTCACCACTTTCTTCAACACTCATCTCTTCATCTCTTTTGCTGAAATGCCCTCAAAATTGTTTTCCCAATGAATGGTTAGACAAAAGCCAAATGAGAGATAATTTTGTTTGAAGACTAACACTAACTAATTGAAGAGTCGATTCACACACTTGACGGAGACATTTGTTGTGTAAGTTTTAAATATTTTAATCATTTTGTATTAATTAAGTTAAATCCTTATTTAATACTTTAGTTTTTGTTTCTTTAAGTAGTTTTCTAAATGTTTTACTTTTGTCATATAATCAATAAAACAAATTATAAGTTTAAATTTTTAAAATAATTTAAAATAATGATTTTTACAATATTTATTGGTTTCAAAAAAATATTTTTAGTTTATATATTATATATAGATATCTATATAAAATATAAAATAATATATATATATATAAACATACAACTGTTATATATGTTTAGTAACTTAAAGAAAAATGATTTTGAGTTTTCGATTATATTTGAAATGATTTATTAAGATCTGAATCTCTTGTTAAATGTCACGATCTTTCAATAAAATAAGAGAAACATTTCTTTTTCTTTCTTGTATTGAAGTAAAACATCGTTTTAGTAAATGACTTGAAATCTAAAACACTGAGACATTTACTAAAAATATTTATCATTAGCTTTCAGTTGCACTYCATATCTACCCCCTCTTTAAACATTATAAAAATAACAATAATAATAAAAAACATTACATCAAAAAAATTAATTAAAGTATATATTCTTTAAATAAAATGTTTACGTAAATTCTTAAACAAATCTACTATCAGTTAATTTTTAAAATATACAATACATAATAATTAAAATATTGATAATATTTATTGAAAAAATTGGTCAATTATTTATATATATTTTATTGAAATATTGATTACAAAACATAAGAAAAAGCATTTTTGGGGTAATATTACATACAATTAAATATTAGATTAGGAGTTAATTTTATTTATGATATTTGTTTGTGTCTAAATTTATTATGTAATTAAAGAACCGTAATATTTATTTTCCCATTAATACTTTTTGTTTAGCATTTTTCTAATTAAAATAAATATAATTATTAATAAAAAAAAGTTCATATTATAAAAAATGATATTTGAAATTTACAATTGTATACAACATTAGAATCAATTTATATAATATTAATAATAAAACAATTTAATGAAACATTTTTTATTTATAATATTGATTTCATTAAATTATATTCCATTTTTAAAAATTGAAAACATTTTTCTACACAAAAAAATAAATCAATTTTTTAAGCGTTTACTTACTCTTAAATTTGACATTTGGTTTATATCTGAGTGAAAGATGTATCGCTCATAATCTTATAAAAGTCATTTGCATTTCAACGATAAGTTATTAAATAAGTCAATCCATTATTGAGTTTATTTTTTGCCACTTTTAATCATTTTCAACGTAATTACAGCTTTTAACAAATAAATTTATTATACTAATATTAAATATTAATCATATATACTATATATTGTGTTATAATATGCCACTCAAGAGTTTCTGCTTACTCTAAATTTTACTCATAACTCTCTCTCTCTCTCTCTCTCTCTCTCATTATTTTATTCGCTCACTCCTCTCTCTCTCTCTCTCTCTCTCTCTCTCTCTCTCTCACTCACTATTTTTCTTTCTAGTTTTTCTTTCGACAAAAATTTTACCAAAAAATCATTTTTTTGGTGAATAAGAAAAAGAAATGTTTTATAAGAGAAAAAAATATTTTTCAAAAGAAATGTATTTTCAATTTATAAATATCTCCAAACTTTAAATAAAATCCGATATTTTTTGGTTTCGACATAAAAAGCAAACCTAAAAATCAATTACTAATAGAAAGACTATTCTTTTTTATGTGTAGAGAGACTTTACATACGATATAATATACAATATATCGATATTGTTATACACAGGCATTACTTTTGCCGTTTAGTTTTACAATAAATAGTTTGATACAGTTTTTATGTATCAAAAAGATTATTATTTTTTAATCTTATTATTATTACTTTTTGAATAACTTATTTATATTGCCCTTATGTAACCGTATTATTGTTACTATATTTTATTATTATATAAAATATACATTATTAATATTTTGTTAGTTTAATGTATTATATTAAAACAATAATAAATAAATTATTATTTCAATTTAAATATATATTGATTAATGTAGTAGATCTTGATTATTATAAGAAAAGTATTTCATTTATAAAGTACATGAATTCAGTATTATAAGTATAAATAAATTTTGAGTAGCATTTTATAATTATTTTGTATAAAATATGGAAACATATATTAAATAAATATATATWTTATATTTATCTCTAGTATTTTTATATTTAATATGCCAACTCTTTTGTATAAAATATATTATATGTATTATATATAAAATATATGATAAATGTATTGCGAGAATTCGTATGCGTTTTAAATGATTTCACATAAGAATTGAATTCAATTGAATAGAATAACAGAATTTTTGTATAATATTTATCTCAAAAAAAATCTTATTTCTTCAAAAATCCATATAATATATAAATTTATAACTTTTTAATGTATTGTATTTATTTTTTAATACATAATACTATTTGAATATTCAAATGATTATATATATATACAAATATATATATATATACTGTACATTTTTATATAAAAAAATAATTTATATATTTTATGTACAGTATATACTGTAGTGTATAATGCTTATAAATAATATTATAATAAAACAAAATTCATATATTATATTGATATATACTCTAAAACTTATGAAATATTGAGATATTATGTAATATTTTACAGACTTATATTTCAATCAAGAGATAAAAGTCAAGAAAACGGTTTTTCGTGATATAATTAATTTTTAAAAAACTATTGTTAACTGAAAAAATCGTGATATATTATAAAATGAATTTTAATTGAAAATGATGAATAAATTATTATTTATTTTATATTATAAATACACAGCATGCAATTAAACTATATAWTAAATATTTTTAAATATGATTTTTTTAATTAATTAAAGATATACCGTAAGCTTTAAACATTATAACGATAAGTGCTTATAATATTAGCGAAAACCTATTTATGTTATTTAGTTGTTTGAGTGAATCATTTCTATTGGATAACTTATACAGTATTAACAATATACATATACCACTAAATTATGGCATTTTTGATATATATAAAGTCATAAAATATTTTATTGTTGTTATTTTTCTTTTAAATTAAATGTTATAAACATATTTAATGCAAACGTATAATAAATTGATGGCTGTTTTTTGTTGTAATATTAGGAGCAATAAACATATACTACTAAAGTGTATATGAGTTGTTAGGTTTGAGTAATAAACATGTTGTGCTTTGGTATGCTTTGGTAAGGTTTGACAAATTAAACGTTGGATGCCTGAGCCGTAAGCATCATTGGGGAACATAAAAATTCAATTGATTTTGATTAAGTTTAAATCCAATTGTCTTATATGTGTGTAACTAAACATTGCTCATTGTTTCATACATTTATAGAGTGACCGAACCATTATTTTTTTCAATAAATTTGTTTGCCTTACTGTGTATATTATATATTGCTTATTTCAATGTAAAAGATCAAATATATAGCTTTTTATTGCTTTTATATTGATTCATGAATATATTACATTTTCTCTAAATTGTATTAATAAAAAAATTAAATTTCTAAAAATAACACAATTTTAACTTAATAATTGTGCATTTAATATTTTAATATATTTTTCTCTAAAAAAATTAACATAATTAAATTTTTTTATTATGCTCATTTTTATTTTGTAATACAAACATTAGTTTTTCAATTTACAATAAGATTTGTCACTATTAAATATAATAAATATAACATTTGGTAACTCTACTTATAACCAATATTAGTGAAATACAATAAAAACAAAGTAAGCAATATTATAAGACTAAATTAATTCCTATAATTAAATAAACTTTTGATATAATTTTGTATTGTTTTCTTGTAATTCAAAAATATTTTTATTGCACACATGACTGACAATATTCTATGCATTTTAACTAAATTTATAGTTTACTGTATCTAATAAAATACTTAAATATGTTTTTATTGAATATCATGTTTATAAAAAAATTATAAATCATTTTTGCTATTAAATATTTAAATATATATATATATATTGTTAAGTATAAATAGATATATTCTAAACTTTTTAAATACATTTTTAAAAATAACAAATATTAAATAATGCTTTTGTTATGAAAAAAAATTAAATCTGTATTTAGTCAATATTAGAGATTAAAAAATATTTATCTATTAATAAATAGAAAAACGGAATTCCTTTAGACATAAATATATCTTTAGATTTGTTAAACTGATATTTCAAACTATCTGTATATAACACATGAATTTTCTTTTCTGCTTATATTAAATAAGTGGGAACTGTATAGCTGTAGGCTTTCTAACGGTTTAATACTGTATGTTATGTTAAGTTAGCTCTACTCAGACAATATGTGTCTCACACAAGCCATGAGCTACAGTATAGACACATTGTATGACAAAATTGAAACTTAAAGTCAAACTAAACACACATAACATGATATGAAACTTTTGCAACTCATTTCTGCATTTTTTCTTTAAAAATATATATTACATATTTTTTAAGATTTAAAATATTTTTGAAGGCTCTGTCGTCTATCACTTTTTTATTTATAAGAAATAAGCTTAAATTGATAAAAAAATAATATCATTGTAAAATATATTTGAMAATCCTTATAATATTATTGAAAATATAAAAAAATTGTTTTTATGTACTTTCAGCACAGGTATCATAGCTATTAGATAATAGTGACAAACATGTTTAGCAACAAACTAAGTATTTTTTTTATTTATTTTGAACTGAAACTGTAGTTTAATAAGTTTATATTAAATAAAAATATTACCAAAAAATTGCGTCAAAAATGATCTAACTTATATAATATATATTTAAACTTAAACAATATTAAACATATATTGTAAATTACATTTATATTTTTATTTATAGTTTTATTTTCAAATATCAGAATATCAGAATTTCAAATATGTGTATGTGTATGTGTATGTGTATGTGTATGTGTATGTGTATGTGTATGTGTATGTGTATGTGTATGTGTATGTGTATGTGTATGTGTATGTGTATGTGTATGTGTATGTGTATGTATGTGTATGTGTTGTATGGCTGTATACCTTATATTCATTATAAACTAAAATCGATTTTACAATTTATGAAGATATGCTTAAATCCCATTTATTATATATTTGACATTTTTTTTGTTGTATTTCTATTTGATGTACACTTGACTCTCAAATATCTGAATTATATTTATTTCCAGTATTATATGATAAACTCGTGTCTATCTCACCAAAAATCAGTACTTTTTCWTTATAAATTTTTACTGTTTTTATTTTACAATTTAAATCTATAAAACATATTTTACTCATAAAATTACACTCCATTTGATGTATTAGTTATATTGAATGATAACAATAAAACTATTTTTAATTTTTTTTTGTTGCTTTTATATTGAATATTATATAAATATAAACTTAAAAATTGAGAACAAAAAAAATCTCAATAATTTTATTTTATTTTTTATAATATTCAGCAAAACTTTATTGTCTCAAAAAATTGTTATCTATTATTATATCTAAACTGATTTTTAGCTAAAATATTCAATACTCAAATTTTATGAGTGAGAAAATATTTATATTTTTAAATTTATTTGTTATTCAAAAAGTTTGGCACAAAATTTATATAACWGATACAAACGATGTAAGATTCAATAACATTATACAACTATATAAAAATAAAAACTTAAAGATATGTAAAATTTATAAATACAGTATATATAAGAATATTCCGTAGAAATGTTATGTAACTTATATATAGAATTTGTGTGTTTATATAATAACACCACTAAATAACCACTATTTCAACAAATTTTCAACAAATCAAATTCAGAGCTCTGTTAGAAAAACAAACAATATTTTCTATAAAATGAATTTTTATTTTAAATACATCCCAATCCTATTTGTTTTGTCTAAATTTATATTTTTAGGATACGTTTGGCGTTAAAATCAATAATTCAACATTTTTGTATATTTTTTAAACAATTTTTTGCAAACAAAAATGCAATGTTATTTAAAACTAGATATTCAATTATTAGAYACATTGACAAAAATTTAGAATTTAAATTAAAAACATTTACAATCTATTATAAATTATATGTTATATATTAACCTATTTATAATTAATTTCTTTTATATAATGAGATTAAAATAGTTAAATAATATAATAACATACTAATTATTTATTATTATTATATTTAAAATTACCAATTATTATTTATTTTAAATAAAATTTGATCTCAATATTATAGTTGTATAATTGAAACATGATTTTTCAGTATATAATATAATGTAAATAATTTAAAAGCTTGATATTTTTAAACTATTTACTTATTGCTTTAAAAATAGAAATAAAAATACATAATAATTATTAGTTTAGTTGAAAAAGATGTCGATCTTTTTTTTGCTAATGAGAGATGAAAATACTAGTCTTTTAGTTTAAATTTTTTATAGCCTTTAATTTGAGATAATATATTGTTTATTATTTGCTTTAAAAAATATTTTTTTTTAGAAATTTACTAATGAGTTGCCTTTGTTTACGTTTAAAATAAGATAATTAGTAAACTATTTATCCAATTTATTATTAGTTTTGGACATTATATTAGTTTATATTAGTAACTGTTAAAAAAAAGTTTATATAACKAAGTATTTTTAAGCAGAATTTTTTTTGAACATATTTTTTTATAAATATTATTTAAATTAATAACCACTGAATAATAAATTAAAAGGTTTTATATTTGACGTAAAATGTTTGAACAATTATTTTTTACAAAAATATCTCATTTTTGATAATATAGGCGATTAAATTGTATAACGTTTAAGGACTTTTTAAATATTTATAACAGTTTTGATAATTTTGTGTTCAAAATTTGTTATTAATTCAAAGCCATTAAACTATTATACCGGTATATCTTAGTTTATCTATTTATATATATATTGTTATTACATTTCATTTCACGTTTTTAGCTTTCTTTCACTTATATAATTAGATTGCATACCAATGCCCCCATACCAGTGCCAATCCCTTGATATATAKCACACTTACCCTTCTTTTAGTGCATACTTTAMACACCATTGCAATGTTGACTTAATTTTTTTATTTCTAACGTTTTCCAACTTTTTTATAACAGATTTCATTGTTTAGCGTAATCTATGAAATAGTGGCTAAAGTCCGTCACTGAAAAATAGGAATCCAATTAAATGATTGTATTGTTTTACTATTGAAAACAAACCATGAATTTAAAGGATGGCATCAAAATAATGTAAGTGAATATATTGTATAGTATTGGTTACTGCCTTATATACTGTGTATATAAATATTATGTGTTGAGTCCTTAATCTATAAAAGTGGCAATTTTTTAGTACAACACAAATACATTGACCGATAGACCACTACAACTACTACTGAGACATATAGTCATAGAGTCATCTAATGTTATTCTTATGACATTTCATTGATATTCTTGTCATACAATTCAGTGACCATCGCTGGCAACCAATGATGTAGTGATGCCTGCATTCAACTGACTATAAACTCATTACAGATATAACATATAAACACATTTATATGATATATACCACACATACTGTTTGCTTTACATTTATGTTTAAAGCATCTTTTTCGTGACTTAACTATTTGATTATTATTTATATATATATATAAGATTATATAACTCATACTTTAATATTATATATATTTGAGTTATAAAGAATACGAAAATAATTTATATTATTTTTAATAAATTTCATTTATTAATGATTTTTTGTTTTTATCTCTTTTATATAAAATAAAATCATCTATATTTATACTTTTTAAAACAATTTTTTTACTAAAACAGTCATATTTATGGATAACATAATAAGTTAATTTTTACAGTCTTGAATATACTAATCTATAGTATAGAGATGTAAACTTTATGTAAAATTGTTTGTTTAATTTATATAAATTAGTTACATCAATGAATTTCTAAAGTATATCAATTTAAATGATAATTTCAAAAATTTTTACATTTATTTCAGTCTCTAATTCGAATAATTGAAAAATAAATGATCTCAAACACGTTTTTAATGATTTTTGTAATTTATAAACAAAATTTTATTTTACAACAAATTGTATTACATTTTACAATGTTTTATCGTAAATTAAGGTTGACTTTAAAAATTAATTAAGTATTCATCAGTTGTTAATCTAATCAATAAAGTGTATATAATATACGGTAAAATGCAATTAATTTAAGAATTATTTTACAATTAWTGTATTGGTAGATATATTTTATTATTTTATAAATATTATATATAATAATATTATTATTATTAATAAAATAAAATTACAAATTAATTAAATTTTAATATTAATTATTATGCAAAACGTTTAAAATAATTAAAAATTTAATTTATAAAAAGTTTAAAGTTTTAGCTTTCTATTTGTTTAAATAAGTTTAGATTTGTTGAATTATATTCAAGACTATTTTTATCAATTTAATTTATGTATAATAATACATATATATAACTTATAGTTTTATCAAATATACTATAAGTCTAAATCAATAAACTTAATTGTATTAAACGATTAAATTATTTTTTGTCTAATGATATTTATTATACACAAAAAATATTTTAAATTATGACATACAAATATGTTTTAACTTTCAAATAAAATTGTTTAAGAGCTAATTTATGGATAAATTTTAATACAAAATTGTCTAATATTTAAAAACATTATAAAATATTATAAAATGTTTTATATTATAATATAAAAGTATGAATAATATAATATGTCCTATTATAAATTAGATTTTAACTAAAAAGAGTAAAATTGATTTTAAAATTTATAAATAAATCATATGAGATAATAGAATACAGAAAGTTGTATAAACAGCACATATATGTAATATTAAATCTCTCTTTTTTTCTCTCTCTCTTTCTCTCTATTACTCTATTTATCTATCTATCTCTCTAAGAAAGAAATAGAAATGTGTGTTATTTCTGGTAAAATTTATTTATATAATAAATTTGAGAGAAAAACATTACTTAAATTGTAATTTAAAATAAGTTTGATGTTTATATAGCAAATCATATGCTTATATGTGTGTATGTACTGTAAGTTTGTGTTTAAAATGCATGTCTCCTATGGGACACCACATTCATGATTGGAATAAATTGATTTTTATTCAATGAGTTCATGTTTTTAGCTGCAAATACAGCAATTCAATTGACATATAACTCAATCATTGATTTCAATTTTTTAGTGAAATCACTTGCTTTACATATAAATAATGTTTAGCTTTGTTACAATTGTTAATAAATTGCTTATAATTAATATATATATATAATAATATTTGGCTATATTTGTCTGTATTATATCTAGTGTTGAGTTGTTATAAATTATATTTATAAAATTAAAGATTAATCAAATTTAATCTATTTGTGTTTTATTACAATTCAACTACAAGCTTGAAATTTAATTAAAATTTTTGACACTAAATATATCATACGATAACGATTGGTATAATAGTGTGTTGTTTTTATATTAAAAAATATAAGTATATAAAATGTCTGTTGCATTTAGAGTTGGCAAAAAAAGAGAGATTTCTGGAAAGTTTCTAAAAGAAATTTCTGTCTATAGGATCCACATATTAATTTTGTTGTCTTTTGTTTTAATTTAGCCATTTTTAGTTACATTAAGAAAACATTAAAAAATATTAACATTTTATACATTTACTGTTTATTAACTAAATTCGAAATATATTGTATTAATAAAATTCAAAATGAAATTTGATATTTAATAAATGAATTTCATTAAATGAATATTTACAAAATTATTTTTTATTTCATAGTGTATTCAAAAAATTATTGGTAATACTGTTGTTTGCACATTGAGTACAATACTGTACTACTGAACTGATATTAATGAGTAGTTAAAATAGTAGTAGTATTAGTAGTAATAGTAACAGTAGTAATGTTGCTCTARAAATATCAATCGATTAATGAAATTAACATTAGTTTTGTGTAAAAGATAGACAACACCAGAGACCGACAGATATTGAGAAGTGCTGTAATTGAAGTTACATCTCTCTCTCTCTCTCTCTCTCTCTCTCTCTCTCTCTCTCTCTCTCTCTCTCTCTCTCTCTCTCTCACTTACTTTGACTCTATTTCTCTATCAGTTAATCCAAACCATGGCTCCTGTATTCTCGAGAGCATAATTATAAGGGCAAAAGTAGCGGATGTCCACCACTTTTATGAAATGTGATCAACTCATTGCCTACTATGTAATTGTAATCAATTATTCAAAGCAATCGATTGCATTCATAATTAGGTTCATAAATGAATTATTTTTATAGTAGATTTGAAGATATTATTAGAATCACAAATGTTTTTTAAGTAATTTAAATATATTTATAAATTAATATAAATTAGTTTAAAGTGCACTTATACTATTCTACTTATACTATTATTTAATAAGCAATTAAATATAATTAAATATTTGTAAATTAATTAAAAATAATTTTAAAGCTTTAATATACAATTAAATATTTGATACTATTATTTAAACTAAAAATATTATTGTGTATTTAATATAATTAAATGACAAATTAATATATATAAATATGAAATGTGATACAACTAATTTTAAAGAGAAAAAATGATTAATTTTACTTTTAATTTACTTTTTTATATAATTAAGATTAGTAAAATTGTAAATATAATCTTTAAAAATCATATAATATATAATTATAAATAAAATAGATTTTGTTATTAACAAAAACTATAGTTTCATAGAAAATTATTTTTGTTTATTTTACATTTGTCAATGAAATCTCAAGTTTTTATATTAATTAGTGTTTGAGTGTTGTATTATACAGTATTTATTGCTATCAATTGATGCAATAATTTATATATCGATATATTTGGACATTCAATATTAAAGTAATACCCATTACGTTTAAATAGGTTATGTCTATTGGCAAGAATATGGTGTAGTATGAAGTGGTATGYATAGACTGCAGGCATACCTAAGCGTACAAATCGACGAGTCATGGAAGTGATGATGCAATGAAGCAATGGATGCAATGAGCCATAAGTCACGTTAAGTCAACACCGATATCTCGTATGTGTTTCCACTTGAAAGCCAATACCAGATTCATAGCTATTGCTTATTGCTGTCTATGAATTGCAGTCATAAGAGATGAACTCAATTATGATTTTGAGCGACATTTTCAWTATTAATGCGATCCCAACCATTGCCTCAAATCAAAAGCCGTGAGTTTGCATTCAAAATACTTATTTAAACATACATTTAGACCCTTATTTGGCTACTATTTGCACACATATTACTCTTTAACAATTGTGTATAACTTTTATATAAATCATAATTTATATATTTATTTGTATTTAAGAGATTATAAATTTATATATATACTGTATATATTTTAATATATATACAGTAATAAAAAAATCAGTGATTTTGCAAACGATTTTATAAACAATCGCTAATCAAATCTCTAATGTTTTCCAATAGATTTTTTTATTTATGTTTTTATTTAAAACACTTTTTATTATACCTTATAATCAAACAAATGGTTTTTTAAAAATGATATTTGAATGCATTGAAGCAAACCGTAAGTGTTTATTCTTTTATCATTTTATATATTATATCAATGGTTATCAAATATTATATATTTAAAAAGTTTTTATAAACTTTAATATATTTTGCAATTTTTGTCTAACTTTTTTATTGTATCTATTTTTATATCTAATTTATATATTTAGTAGTAGTTGTTGTAATAGTAGTAGAAAAAATTAATATTTTTTACAATTACTGTTATTTGGCTTATATTTTGAGAGACGATTTTTCCGAAATGATTTTTATTGGGATATTTATGTGAAATATGTGATAACAGTGTTGGCATAAACATAGTTTGTCGTTTCACTCGTTAGATCCATGGGTTTAATATTTCAATAAATGAATGGATGAGAGTTTGCAGCAAAGATTGCTTGTCTTTAGTTTGAATTTGTTGTCATTTTGCCAATTGTTTGTCTAAAATGCGAAAATAGCAGATGTATTCAAAGATTTGCTTTGACTGTTGTTTGTTTGAACGGCTATTACGACAATATTTAAACATTCAAACGATTGAATTCAGGATAGACTACAGTGCTATCAACGAGAATAGGGGGGAGTTATGTATAGACATACAGTAAACGCATATATTCTTGATGTATATTTAAGTATAAGAATAAACAGTATATAAGAATATTATATATATATATATATATATATATATATATATATATATGAGCTTAAATCAGTTAGCATTGGTATACACATTGTACACACAAGTGAAGCATAAATTGCAAACTCAGATAACAATCAGAGATTTGTGTGAAATTGCATGAGTTTTATGTGTTATATATGTGTTTCATTTCTCTGCTCATTCATCTCAATCCTAGTGCCGGCGCAACCATTTGCACACATTAGCTAACTATGTCTTTACTATAAAATTCTCTCTCTTTCTCTCTCTCTCTCTCTCTCTCTCTCTCTCTCTCTCTCTCTCTCTCTCTCTCTCTCTGATATATTTGTTAACATTGACTTTCTTTCTTCAATTAGACAAAACATTAGGGCATATCTTATTTTAGGTGTCGTTTCCATAATCAATAAACTGGTGCTTATTTGAATGCAATAAAGACATCTATTTTAGCATTATTTGGTATCTCTATTATATAATTAAAATCTCTACTTTCTTTTAATTGGATGGATATATTTTTAATGATGTTGTATATAACTGAACTCTAGATATTTAATACTACATAAGGTTTTCACTTAAACTATTGGATAGTAATATAAAGTAGTAATTTATATAGAAATAGTGTAGATGCTTCATGTTAAATTATAACTATTTATTACTTATAACTATTAAATTTAATTATTTGTCATTTTGTATTACATTTTATATAATAGTCAATTATTAATGTTAATCATAAAATTAATACAATATATAGCAGAAATATTTATCTCAATTTTATCAAAGAATATATAATATTAATATTATAGAGATTCCAAAAATAAATAYATATATCATAGCAATAAAATAATTTTATATTAGTTATAATTTAATATATAAATACAYGCAAATATTTAATACATGCATAATAGTATAATCAATAATAAATAATGTTTAAAACAATAAAATTGAATAACTTTATTAGTTGTTTCAAATAAAWAAATATTTATTACAACAATTTTGAAAATTTGTGCAAAAAAAACATAATCTGATTCATAATTTTAGTGGTTTATGAGTTTTGATTTAATTGAAAATTCAATTTTATTGTTGATTTAAGAATTTTTAATCAATTTTATAAATATATTGATTGATATAATATTTCCAAATGATTCAAGTAATGATTTATTTATGAATTTAACAAAATATTTTTTWAAAATTGATTAAAAAATATTAAGTTTAACTTATATTTGATTTATAGAAAATGATTTTCAAATATAAATTATAGTATACATTATATGACTAAAAAATCATTTAACACACAAGAGATGTTAATTTTGATACAATTTTTATGACRTCTTAAATAGTAAGCTGATTGTCGCACATAACAACAAACCGTCAATTTTATTATATCTTGAATTAAATCAAATGCTAACACAATTAACGAGAAGCTCTTTAATCGATAAGTTTATTGTATAGTAAAGCATGAATTTCAGTTAGAGAGGGAATGGCATTACTCGGGAGAGTGTATGTGAAAGTGAGAAATAATAGGGAAAGGGATTAGTGAATAAAAAAACAGTTTGTCGTTAAATGTTGTTATTTTATAGTCGAGTAAAGTATAACTTGAATTTTGAGTGTCAAGTCTTAACTTAGTTTAATATTTGGTTTTTTCATTATTGAGAGAAAGAAAGAAAGAAAGAAAGAAAGAGAGAGAGAGAGAGAGAGAGAGAGAGAGAGAGAGATTAGTGTTAGACCCTAACGTAGAGCACTGGTAGGATTTGGAAACATTGATAGTATACAGTAGAGACACAGTGATGGTGTTTCTGGATGTGATGATTGATGAACAAAAGCAGAGTATATGCATTGCGAATCACTCTTTATATACAAGACTTGTTGAGTCAAACAGCAAAATAGCGGATCATATAATAGACATATCGTATCGTATCATAAGTTATGTTAGGTTTACTTATATTAGTATTTTCACTAGTATTGCGTGTTGTGTTTGTTATGTTTGCAGTTTATGGCATACATACTAGTGTTATGCCTTAGCAGATCGCTTATAATAAGTCATTATTTATAATTTATATTTCATCCAAACATTGAAACATCCAGATCCTCACAATGAAGGCATTGCTAGTACTTTATATATGCTAACAGCTATATATTGTAACGCATACAGTAAGCGCTTATACAGTATATTGTATATTATATCATATATTTATGTTCACTTATTTTTTTACTATATCTATAACTTTAATATGTGTTTATTGTATGTCTGCCCTAACCTAACCCAACCAACAGTGCAAAGCATAGCACAAGAACTTCAAAGACTTCTTTTATAAGAAAAGTTATATTGAATTATATATTTTGAACGAGAAGTTGCTTATGAAGAGACAGAATGATTAATGCATCCAATGTTGCCTTTTATCTGATTCCTACATTTACTCATCATATTTGACAAAACTGAGAGATATTCATTGTATAACTGAGTCAGTCAATGAGTGAGTGAGTGGGTGAGAGGGGAGAGAGAGAGAGAGAGAGGCATACTTACGACACGCTTTGCAAAATGACACTCATATGCGTTGAAATTTTATATAATTAGTTAAAAATTTATTTACTTACATTTTCGTGAAAACATTTATCAAAAGTTTACATTTTCTTTTTTATATTTATTTGTTATTCTTAGTTTATTAAATAATAAATTACTAATATTTTTTAATTTTATTTATAATTGTGTTTTTAATCACAAACATACACATAAATACACCAAATTATTCAACATTTACATTAAAATAAAATTCTTGGATTTATATAAGTCTCAGAGTTTCAAAGATTTAATAAATATTTTAAGCAAACATAAAACGAGTTTACAACAGAATATTCCGAGTTTTTTATTAACAAATGTATATTAGTTTACTTTGTGGTTAAATCGTTATATTGACTCAAAATTATTTATTGATTAATATATCTAAAAAACAGACTATATTTTACTTCATTGCAAGTCATTGAGTGTTATTTAACTTTTTTACAACTTTTTMTTTTTAAAAGTGATTGCAAATTAAAATGAATTGCTTAGGGCTTGTCTTTGGGTATGATTTGAGCGATGGTCTTGACTTAAGGAGTATTTGTATATTATATGTTATGTACTGCAAAATTGTGTATATCATTGTATCGATGTATTATTGAATCACTCGTCAATTTTGCCTAAAACTGAATCTAAGTATACATACACTTGAGAGCTATTTTAAACTTTCATAATATTCACACACATTATGTATGATATGACCCTATTTTGACAAAATTATTATATGAAAAGCATTTTTTATAGCAATAAAACTTTCCATTTTTTCTCCCTTTTTCTTAAAGTAATATCAGCTATTGATATATGCTTTAAATAAACCAAATATAGATAGCTTTGCAATAAAATGCAATTTTTGCAAAGTAGTGAACTTGTTATTTATGTTTATTATTATTGCTTTTATATGATATTATAATATAACAAAATTTTCATTGATTCATATAACAAATATTATATTTGCATTTTTATAAATTTATTACTATTTTTATTTTTTTAAACTTATCATACAGTATTATATATTTACTTATCTAACAACATACTTTAACTACATCTATATTTTTTTAAATAATAAATATAAATAATAAAATGATAATAAATATTTATTGTTGATAATTATTGAAACTTCAATTTTATTGGTGATATAAATGTTAAATGAAATAAGTGAATATTCTTAAATATATTGAAAACAATTGTATAGCAGATAACAATATTTGGAAATACATGAAAATAAAGTTTACAAATGGATAACACAATTGGTAAGCATTTAAGTAACTCCTTTTAGCTGCTCAGGCATATAGAGGAACGGTGTTAGTATAAACTGTTGGTACAAATAATTTATAGTCGACTAAAATTTAGATTCTGTTGAGCTCTTGTTTATTGATTTATATACACTGATAGGCAAGTAATGCCAAAATAAGCTATACATGCCTTACATGCAATTCCTCTCTCTTTCACTTTTAGATTAATTTTCAAACCCAACCCAACCCTAACTGAGTTCTCATCAATGCTCGACATATTATTTTTGTTGGCCCTCTTTCTCTCTATCTCTCACACTCTCATTTGCTCTCTCTCTCTCTCTCTCTCTCTCTCTCTCTCTCTCTCTCTCTCTCTCTCTCTTACTTACTTACTCACTAACTCACTCACTAACTCACTCACTCACTCACTCACACTTTTTTCTGCTTTTCTTTACTGAATTTTACTCATTTTTTCGATTTTTGTTGGATTTATGTTTTATTTGAAACAGAAAACAAAAAAGCCTTTAAAATATTTTATATTACAGTATTATTTTCAGTCTATAAGATGTTAATCCGTGTACATTAAACATGATATATATACTGTTGTGTGCAATAATTTTAAGACATAAGTAATAGAGAATTGAATGTTGAATAACAGCATAACGGGTATAAAAATAGTGATAATAAATGAAAGTGAAAATATAGTTTTATTGCATCAAATGTTTTCCGTTTTAATGTAATGTAAAGCGACTGAACACTACTCTAATAGTGCCGTAAATATTGGATACCACGACTATCGGAAAGGTTTTGAAAGTTTGCAACTGATTTGGTCAGTTGGGTTGGTATACACTTTGACACAACTTATGATGGATTAATATATGTTGAGATCTCGACCTTTATTGCTGTATTGCCTTTAAGGCGACAAAAAATACAATATATATTATATTTATCAATATTTTAATATATCACTATACTATACAATATAATACTCTATACAATACATATATATTGATTTAGTTTTAGTTTTGACTTTTGTAAACCACATGATATGTGTATTCCTTATGTTATTTTAATGGCTGGACTTTATTGAAGAGAAATAAATGAAGAAATGAGTTGATGTTTAGTAACAAAAAACACATTTCACTTATATGTGACACTGTTTTATAAGGCCTTCATTTTCTTGGATGACATTGTCTGGTCATCACTAGAGTCTGCTATTGTCTCACATGTAATGTTTCTTCACTGCATTAGAAATGTGCTCTCAAGTGAAGCCAAACTATGGATTTGTAAATACTATATATTAGGGAACAGTAGATCTGGTATTAGTATGTCTGTCAACTAAGTTGTATTGATATTATTTGTGATGAAGTGTTATATTAGTATTGTGTCAGCTATGAAGCACTGGCTTTATATACAGTAGATATGTATGTATGTATGCATTGTGTGTATGTTGTCTGCAAACCAACTGTGCTATGATTGTTTGTCGGTGACAGTTGTCTTCAAGGCATATCCCGATAGCATTAATACTGTTATCCCATGGCTTACCGTTATATTCACTAATATCTAATGGGTTTCAGTCATCGCAGAGTCAATACAGCTATAGCTGTCATCACTCAGTGTCCTAACGTTTGCTTAATTATCTTATAAATGGTTTGTTCACTGTTTAGCACACAAGTTGTGGCAAATAATTGTGATGACAATAGCCATTAATGCTTGCTTATAAGGAACAGTAGTACATCAATTGAGCTAACAGTGCATATTGTGTGCTAACAGTGCACTGGTATGACCTGCAATGTGATACAACTGACCACTCTTTTATCATTGTTTGTTATACACTATTGTTTCTATGGATACCAATCAGATTCTGTACAACAATGCCGGAAATTCTCTCTATTTTCCCGATTCTCAAGTTTTCCCGATTTTCTTTATATTCCCGAATTTTTCAGGTTATTAATTATATTATATAAATACAGTAATATTTATACACTATATAAATTATATTAAATAAATTATTGGTATTATGGTATATTGATATATACATTAATATCTTAAGTACTGTATACTGTATATTGTTGATACATGAATGATATATTGATGCATAAATAGTGTATACAATACTATACAGTATAATATGATACAACACTACAGTACATACCCTTTCTTTTAAGTATTAGGACTACATCTATAATATGTTGCAATAGACCATTGCGTAAACAGTACTTATACTATGAAGACTACTATAGCCTGACTATTGATAACAAGATGGCTGTTCTCTCAGAGTCAGCGAAAAAAAGATAGACATGAAAGAGTAGACTATATATTGTACAGTATATACAATATAATACATAAGAGTATTGAAGACCTAAACACTGTTTAGAGATTGTATTCAAAGCACAGCCTAAACTACCTCAGCCTTCAGTTAAATAATATTATTGTATTTAAAACATTATTTTGTCTTTTAATGCTTTTCTATGCTATTATTGTTTTATTCTTTATATAACACAAACAAAGCAATAACTAATACTATATATAAATATTACTTTGGATTTCAAACAAATTTAACAATTGCTGTTAATATCTATTTTTATATTATTTTTGGTCAAAACTCAATATATAATTTCTCTTTATTATATGCCATAACTTATATTACTGTTTTACTTTTATTTCTAATAGATATTAAACTGTATTAAAACGATTTTATGAAAATAACAATAAATAATATAATAATCACATATAAAAGCATTTATGTTATATAATAAATTTTTGCTATTATTTTTATTTGGTACACAAACTATAGTTTACGTGTTTTAATTTAGTTCGTATCATTGTTTGTGTTATATAATAATAAATAAAATTTGCTATCAAAACAATTTATTCAATAATTTATGTTTATATATAATCCAATTTTAATTTGCATAAATTGCATACTATATATGATATTATATTTATATTACAAAAGTTAAATGCAAACACATTTAAGAATAGATATACATTAAAGAATAAAATTATGAATTTTCTCTCTATAGACATATAATTATTAAATAAATATTTTATTTTTTAATATTTACGATCAAAACAATATTGTAAGTAATGTTTTAGCTTAATGATAAAATTATAATAATATAAATATTATAATATGTATTATATAGAAGAATGAGTAGTAATTTAATATTTTATTATTTATTTTTTTATTATATTTTTGAATCCTAAATATAATTTATTACATGCTTTTAAATTTTGATATATTTTAATACAATTTTTATTAAAAWTTTTTTTGTCGTTTATAATTTTAGCAGGTTTTTAGTGTATACTGTACTTATACTGTCATTATAGGCAGCTATCAATAACACAGTGTCATTGATTACTTTATCATTTGTTGAAATATTATACCATTTTAACAATTAATTAGACTAAAAGTAAATACTATTTTCTAATTTTAAGATATTATTTCACCACAAATAAATTGTTAATTTCTACTATTGGTTTTTCATYAATTAATATTATATTTTTATAAAAATAAGTATTATTGTCTAAGTGTAAACTTGCATTTTGATAATATTTAGCATATAATATATGAAGCTAATTATAAAGCTAAAATATTTGTATTGGTTTTGATTATTTAATTTGCAAATATAATATATGAAATAATGTTATAAAAAATTTTATGTGAAATATTAAGTATTCATATGAAATACAGATTTAGGTAAAATATAAATACATTTTTTGCAAGTTTTTTTGTAAATTATATAAAATTATATCATAAATTTTGGACTTTTATTTAAATGCATTTAAACATAAAAAGCAAACATTATATTAAATAATAGTAAATAAATATTTATTTAATTTATATTGTAAATATATTTGTTTTTTGAATTAACTATTAGTATTTAATGAGAAATTAATAAGAAACGATTTTTGACTAAAACATACTTAAATACCGTTATATTTATATTAAATATATTATTTATATATTCTTTAATAAAAAGCAATTTATTACTTGAGGCTATAAACAGAATTATTGCAAATAAGCTTAAGTGAAAAATGTTATCTCTAAATAAACTGATTAATTATTCATTATTTTTTAACAATATTTTAACTTTAATTTTCTTTTTCTTTGTCTATTTTTTGTGTAGTATAATATGATTTATATAATATAAAGCATAAAGTTTAGTAAGTGTTAGAAAAATGGATATAAAAATTTATACAATTTTGTTTTATTAATATTATTCTCAATGGATTTGAGTATCTAAATAAAAAAATGTGTTTTATAGTTTATTAAGATAAAAATGCAAATATTTAATAATTAAAAAATATTTTTATATAAATACTATCTGTTTTTATCGTAATGCAATTACAGAAAACTAATATTATATTTATATATTTATAAAATATTATAGAAATTATTTGATTGATATATTTGATATAATTTATATGATATTACGTTATTCTAATAATAATAATTTAATGATTTAGTAATTTTCAGAATTATGTTAAATTATGTTAACCCAAATTAATTTTTTATAAGTTTATATAAAATTGAATGCTTATTCATTTATTAATAGTTAAATTAAAACACAGTTTCATTACTGTATGTTTATTATAGTTTTACAGTTAGTGTGTAGTATATATAGTATATATTATATACACAGTATATTTTTATTTGAATTTATATAGAATTTATTTTTATCAAAATTTAAAAAATTCAATAATATATAAAACTCAATATTAAAATTCCATAAATTATTATAAATGAACAAAATATGTTTTGCAATAAATTTATTTTTTGTTTTTTATTAAAAAATATTGGATACGATAGGCGTTGTATATATAAATTTTCTGTTTGCAAGTCATTGAATCTAAATGTTTGCCACCAATAGTGTAAAGCAATTTAATAAGTTTTATGATATAATTATAATTTAGTCTATATATGATATTATTTAATAACATTTGTATCAAATTATTTTTTCAGATATCATCACAAGAAAATGCTCGCCATTTGTGTCGTGAATTAGAGCTGAAATAAAGACCCGATATTATTATGATTTTATTGTTATATCTGACACATTATTACCACTAAAAGAGATAAGACTTATAAACACTTAAAGAAAATTTGGTCACTATTTGGCTCATTTTTTTTTGCCTTTTTCTGTCAGATCTTGAGATTTTGCAGCAAATGATTTTTATTTTACAATCAGTTGCCACACAATTCACAATTCAATTCACTGGACATACACTAACACTGTTATCAACATTACTATCAGTACTCATACATTTGATTTCCATCTTCAATAAAAATCAAAATCTAAACCTTCATATATATATATATAACTTATATAAAAATCACTTATAGATATATTGTATATAACTTATATACAGTACTATAAACTTATTACATTGTCTCTCATTTGTTTTTCAATAACTTTGCTCAAGTGATTTCTTAGATTTATATTTTATACAATAGTTATACAATATATATATATTTATAATACTGTATATATACGATATATTGTATAAAGTTTGATATACGTGTTATGTTTGTGAGTAATGTTTTTATTTTATTTTATTTCTTCTTGATTTCATTGTCTTTGATGGCAAAAACTGTTGTGATATGTGTTTGGTATGAAAGTTGTAGTCATCACTAGTTTGTTGTTGTGTTGAGTTTTAGTTAAGTTTTTTGTTGAGACAGTTTGAGTTTTGTAATAAATCAAGGATTTTACGGCTCTTTGACTTAACCATTGAACATAACATTTGTCATGCATTTTGGCAGCAAATATCACTTACTTTCAGTCACCACTAATAATAATTGGCTTAACTTTTAAATGTATGGCACTGTTAGCTCAAGTGAAGCACAGCAATACCCAACCCGTTGACAGGCATGTTGTGTGAGAGCCGATAATTCTTCGATTATAATTGAGGTTTCCTTTCAATTGCTTAAATAAAGCCCTCGACATTAATCTCGACTAAAATGTTAAGATATACCGAAAACTTAGAGCACAGTTATGTCTTCGGTAGTGATGTTGTGATGTAATTGTTGTTAAGTTAATTCATATGAAGACTTAAATAAAGCATTTAACAACACCAGACAATAGCTTACTAACCAATTATTCTTTTATATTAAATATTCACAGCATATCCAAAAAGTTTTTATATCCCTTTTAATGTAATGCAATTTATTGTATATATAATGCATACAATACTGTATAATACAATACACAATGTATACATCATTAAAATGTTGGACAAAATTAAAGCCAACCAAACATTTTATGCTAAGTATAGTCTAATATTAGTCAAGTGACTTCTTAAGGCTCTTATTTAAATTATAGTAATAATAAAGATATTTAGATATATTCTATATATACAATATATACAATATATACTACTATATACAGTATATCTACTATATATGTATTTACATTCAGCTCTTTATATATGATATCATTGATATAAAGCTGAACGTGAAGTAGTTATGGTTTGCCTGTGTCTGGCATTACTGGCACTACAATTCATGAATGGCCTAACTCTTGGACGTCAACTCTATTGTATACAATTGAATAAGTATTTAGAGTATAGTATTGGCAAAAGTTATCATAAAGTGTACGACTAATCGTTAGCTTTAGTTTAGGCAATGTTTGTGAGATGACTGCTGTGTTTAAGTCAATTCATTGGTTAATCTGTCGGTATATTTATTGTATGCATTTATATGCAAAAGATTTTATCTCAAATCAAGATCAAGTGACGCCATATACATAGATAKAGATAGTAATTGTGATAGTGATTGCAATTATAAACAAACTCAGTGATCGACCATTGATGATGACACTGGTATATCACAGTTTGGCAACTATGACTATGTTTGTATATTTAGATTATACAATTTCAACCCTGTACTTATCTAATGCATTTGACAGGTGCACACCACCGAAAGTGAATGTCATACCAGTGCTCTCATTGTATGACATACTATATTGCAAACAGCATCTCATAGCAGAATATACAGTATATATAATATAAAAATATATGAGTTTTTGGTGGAAAACACATTGATATATACAGCATATATGTGTCGTCAATTTCGGCCAGAAATGCAATCACTGATTGTCGCATATGACATACCACTATTGCAGTTAGTATTGATTAGGGCTTACCAGTGCTGTCTGTATGCTCCTCAACAAAGCATCTGCTCATTGATTATAGTCAGCCGACTCTTTGCGATAGCACTGTTCGTTTAATATATATTTGTGTGGACTCAGAGTATGTATGTATCTGTGTTTTCTATGTCTTTTAATACTTCAACTCAAACGAAACAACATTACCACCACTAATGCTAAACTATTTTCACCCAAATTTTCATCCCTATTATCACATTATCCTCTATTGAGTTCTTATTGATGAAAGAAGTAATTGTAATCCATCTCAAACTCCAATTCCCACTCCATTGCAAAACATCTCTTATATTATATTTCTTTCTTTTTTGATATTTTATCGGATAAAATGTTATTTCACTTTAAATGTTACATTATTTGAGAGGTATATAAATTTATAGATCAAATTTATCTCAAAAAGTATAAAAGCTTATATATATATATATATACGATATTATCTGATACAATGATTTAAAATTTTGTTATAAATATATTAAAAGATATGAATGTTTTTGAATTAATGAATGGACATTCAAGTGAATAATTGGATAGGGATGTGCTCAATGATTGGACAGGGATGTGCTCAATGATTGGACAGGGATGTGCTTGGTCTTTTGTCTCAGCCATGTCATTGCGATTTGGTGAGCAAAGCATCAAGTACATCACTGACAATCACTATCATCATTATTATTAGTATTATGATACCATCATTACCATTATTATCGTCATTATATTCGCCAATTTGACATTATTTTTTATATAAATATTTCTACTAAATTGATATCATTAAAATCAACTATTCCACATTATTATTATATTTATTAATCAAATAATTTATTGATAGTTATATTTTGTAAGATATATTTTATACATTATATATTGTATGTATGTGTGTGTCTGAGTGTTACCGCATTAATAATTGATAATTAGATTCATAATAAGTGATATATTTATTTAGTTTGTCAGTCAATTAATTTTGATCCAAATTTATTTAAAGGCTAGCATTGCATCCGATTCTATTTTATTATATAATACTGTATTTGTATCTTTTATTATGTTATTATGTTAGACATTTTGTTCATATGTTAGTTTATTTATGAAGAGAGAGAGAGAGAGAGAGAGATGTCATAATTTTATCATTTGGACAGTGATTGATAGACTAACTCATAATAAATTGCAATTCATAGTCTTGAAGAATGGCTTAATTCAGAAAACATTTGAATGAATATCTATTCAATAACAACACAAATCAAACACATATATACTATATTATGCTTTTTTATATAAAGCTTTAATTATTGTATATAAAAAATTACTTTTCATAGTGATTACTGATATCTTATATGCCATTTATAACATATACTAATTATACTAGAAATTTATATAAATCTTTATATATAACAAAAAGTGAGTGAGAAATGTGTCACAAATTATTTTGTCATTAATCACATAAGAAATGATTGCAAAATAATTACATAAACAAGTGAAGCGTCAAAAGTGATTGTCTGTTAATAATATCCTAATTATAAGTACTTAATATCTTATCATCACTTCTGGGAGCCTATCATTTATAATGTGATTATTCTGTGTCTATCGATATAAACCTTTGGACAACCATTAACTGACCACTTGGTTGTGGGACTCCATCTGAAATCTTGTCTCCCGTTTGATCATTTGATTCGTCAAATGGTCATAACCTCATGTAATGAATAGGTGAGCAAAATTTCAGGTGATTTCTCACATATACTAACACATCGGATATCATTGTTTTCAAAAATAATTATTTAAACAATTGATGAAAAATGCAATAGAATTATATATTATTGAATTGTAAATTCAGATAAATTTCGTAAAAATATTTTAATATACATACTTATCATAGTACAGCTTATCAAAAATGAGCTCAACATATAAATGTTATATTTAATCACAAATATTATACAAAAAGTCAAGACTATTAAAAATCAGTATAATATAACCGTCTTTTTTCAATAACGGAGGAGTGAGTAATGAGTTTCGGGTAAGTATGTAGACGTAGTCATGTTGTGTATATTTTTGTTGAAAATTGATTATATTTTTTTTATAGACTTACTTGTATTAAATTGACCACAATTTTAATAGATATTGGCTTTTTATTGTCAAATTCATCTTATATTATTTTTTTATCAATAGCCACTGGTTTTATTGATAACCAATTCATCACTTGATTTGATAGACATTTAATGTGCTTATCTTACTTACACTTCAAGTTTTTTTTTATATACACTGTATATAATAGTATAACTAATTCTTAATATATGATAAAAATTATTTTATTGTGTGATCTATTAAAGCAAATGTTTACTTTCAATTGATATGAGAGACAATTAGATTTGTTGATACAAATTGTCATCAAAAACAATAAAAACAGTTATTATTAGATTGCTATTGAAATAAAGGTTGTTTCGATTAGACTTGCAGTTAGTTTGTGACCCTAAAGGCTATAAATCATTTGTGACAATACATCACATATTCAGTGCACCGTTAGGTCTCTCCACTGCTTATCCCAATTCTTTTACTCCCAAACCGTATAATACATTGAATGCCATAAATTCTTAGTGTCTTTCAGTTTCCAACGTTGTCTATATATTTGCCTTAACTTTTTGTCTATTTTTCTATCATTTCTGTTTCCAATGTCAGCTCTCTCTCTCTCTCTCTCTCCCTCTCTCTCTCTCTCTCTCTCTCTCTCTCTCTCTCTCTCTCTCTCTCTCTCTCTCTCTCTCTCTCTCTCTCTCTCTCTCTCTCCCTCTCTCTCTCCCTCTCCCTCTCTCTCTCCCTCTTCTCTGTCTATCTGTCTGTCGGTCTGTCTGTCTGTCTGTCTGTCTGTCTGTCTGTTTGTTTCTATACTGTATTTCTATCTTTTATTTGTTATTAACTGTTATTTGAATCAGATTTACCCCCAAATAGTTATTAACAATTAGATTCCTTTTCTTTTATTTAATTCAATTGATTTTATTTGGTATTCGTGTCATCAAATCGATTAAATATACAAATACCACAATATATCTAATTTTGTTTATATCATTTCATTTAGTTTTTCATTTATTTAATTGAAAGATTTATGTATAAATTTATTATTAAATGTTATTTTATGTACTATTTTAATATAAATTGCTTTATTTTTAATTTTTTAATTTGTTTAAATATTATACTTAATTTTCTATTTTAATAAAAAGTGAGTTAATTTATAAAGTAATTTAATATAATCTGCATTTATATTGATTAAAATGATACTTAATAAATGTTGTTTAACTATGTGTTTCATAATATGAGATACTAAATATGTACAGTATATCTATCAATATTACATTATACAATATAATTTATTGCAATAATATAGTAATTTATTGATTTATATAATAATTAGATTATATTAAACACTAGATAATCTTTAAAATTGTAAGTTACTTAATATAATATTATTTAAAATAAATAGTATTATAAAATTAATTCTAATACACTATTAATGTTAGTTTTTATAAATTTAAAAGTGTTATTAAAACTATTCATAATATGAATTTCATATAGTTTTAATATAATACTTTTGATATAAAGATTCTTAGAAATTAATGTTTAAATCACTTTTATTAGGAATTTCATAATAAATAACACTTTTCTGTGAATATTTTTTTAATATAACAAAAAATAGACGAAATAATTCCAAGAAATAATGTTATACTTAAAAAAGTTTGTGATTATTACTATATATAATAAGAAAATTTGAAATGACTTATAACTTACTATTTATTATAACTTTATAGACGTAATTCAAAAAAKAAGTCCATTTAAGACGACTATTGAAATATTAATTATATAAATAAAAATAATGTTTTTTATTTTTTATAATATTATATTTAACACAATTTACTTAATTATTTACTTAATTTATAACAATTAATATATAAATTATGATTTTATTGATAATATTTGTAATATTTTTTATTTTAGTTGTAGTAACAGTTTGAGACAATTGAAGTGTCAAAAATATATTACTTTATGCAATACATTACTAAAAAAATTGCATTAATAATAACCTCAAAATAACAATGATTTTGATTACATGTTTTTTATATTTTATTAATAATGTATCATTAGTATCAAATTCATAAAATAAGTTTTAGACTATATAATAAAAATTATAGATTATAATAAAACAAACTGTAATTATTAGAGACATCAAAATATGTGATCAATATTTCTAAAATATTTAATAAAATATGTCCTCAAAATGGTTGGGTTACGGGTCGGCCACACATTTGAGTTCCCCGACAGTCAGTTCAATGTTTGAACTTCAAACCCACTGAAAGGTTCAGGAGGTTTGCCTGTTTTATAGGCATTTCATATAATAATAATTATATTCTTAAATATTTTGTAAAAATGCTATAACATTAGCCAAAAACATATTTAAAACTATTGGGAAAATTACTTTAAAAATATTAATTATCAATACCTAATAAACCTAAATATACAGTATTGTAGTTCACAAATGACTAAAAATCGTTACATCTATAGAATTGTAATGACTTTTTGGAAAAATATAGAAAATTAATTATAAGTTATAATATACTGAACATAAAATAATAGTTATTTTTTAGATTTTAATTTACAGTAAATTATTTATTTTTGGTATATTAATTGTTGATCAATATTTGTTAATAACATATCATTAAATAATAACAATTTGTCTTAAAATACAAAAAAGCAAATAATTATTTTTAAGTTTAAAATAGTTTTTCTGTTTATAATTAAATATAAAATGAAATTTTTAGTTAAATAAAAAGGAATTTATAGATAACTTAATTTAAAACAATATATAAATATTAAAAATACAATAATTTTATTTTTTTAAATTCTCTTTTATCTAGTGTTGGCAAAAAAGAGAAATTTATAAAATGATAGGGAAATTGCTATAAAGTTTCTAAAAGAAATTTTTATCTATGTGATCCCCATGTCAATTTTGTTTTCTCGATATTTGTTAACTTGCTTTTACATTGTTTTTACATATAATAATTAAATATAAGTATTAGTATTTTAATTATAAATTAAAGTAAACAATTTATATATTTAATTATATTAAACTATGATACCGTATATATATACTGTATATTAGAATGATAAATAAAATTTTACAAAACTGATTATTATTAAATAATTATAATTATTTTATATATAGATATCCCGTTTTGTATAATATATGTCTCATTAATATAGTATTACAATATCTATAGATATGGGGATCTCATAGTATAATAATTCAGTTAAATTTCTATAAAAATTTATTCATGAGAAAGTTTCTAGAAATTTATTAGAAACTTTCTATTTGCTCATCTCTACTTTTATTTTCTATAAATAAATGTTAAATATTTTAAAATATAAAATTACATTTGTATACTAAAATATTATATAAAATATCATTGATTCAATTATATTTAATAATTTATTTTAAACATAGTTTAATATTAATAGTTAAATACTTATAATCACGAAATTAATATATAAATCAATAATTTATATTGATATTAAAATAATAACTAATTTATCATAAGTTTTAAATAAGCTAATTTAAAAACTTTAACATTTTATTAACAAACTAATAAATCAACAAAGTACATAGATTTAAAAATAAATTACATTAATTTATTATACAAAAATAAAATAAATTTAAAAATATAGACCTAAATTAATGTCAATATATAATTGAACAATATATTTAAAACGTGTTCAAAATGAGACAATACTTTTAATATTAATTTTTAAAAAATAAATCAGTTGTTTTCAAAACATTTATACAATCAGATCATAACTTAGACTATTATATAAGAGATTAATCAATAAATTAAGTCATTGACAATAATTAAAATAATAATAGTAAAAGTAACAATAATATATAATTTATTTTTTGTATTTTAATCACAATTTTAATTTATTTGTATTTTAAACAACTTTTAAGTTTATTTTGTAAGTTTGTGAACATTTGTCTAATATTTTTTTGACAATTAAACATATGTTTAGCTAATAGTAAAAATCAAAAGTTTTATGCCTTAATGTTATGGCATTACTCTTATGCTCTTTGAGTTGTTGTTGTGCCGCAAATTTGCCGAAATTATTCAAAGATATAGCTCTCTTGCCATCGATRATAGTAGTACTGACATCACTGTCCTCGTCATCAGTTTTCTGATATCCATTGTTTGTAATGCCATTATTGGCCTCCACTTTGGCAGTGGTTATGACTGTAGAATCGCTGACAGCGACTGTCTTTTGGTTTTGTTGGTTCACTACTTCAGGTGTGGTAGATGTCGAGGCATCGCTCTTTGTTTTGGACACTACCCGACCATTTGCTTGACTGCCGAGTGTCTGACCACAACATGCCGTTGATTCGGTAGCTCCCGAGCCTTCGTATTGAGACAAGCATTATATTTAGTTAAGTATTACCGGTAAATATTTTTTAATATTATGATAACATATAAAATATATTATATTTTGTTAATATTGCCTTAAATACTAATTTTGAATTACACATCATTTGTTGAAAATATTGATAAAATATGTTTCTACACAAATATATTAAACTAGTAATACAATTATAATGAGAAGTAAACTCAAATTGCTTTCGAATAATTTATTTAATTAATAATAAATAGTTTACTTGTGTTTGAGACTGTTGTATGGGAACAGTCATTTGCAGTAGGTATGGGTGCACCAATTAAATGGGCGTCATTGCCCACAAAATATCTGTATGGTGTGTCGTAGTCGACCTCAAGTATTGTAGAAAACTTATTAGGAAACAGTGTGTCCACTATAGTGACCAGTGCTCCGACCAATACTGATGTCACACCTATTATTCAAAAAATAAAATTCATAAACAATAACTCAATTTATTAAATTATTATATCAATACATAATATAAATAATTTATATATTTTAAATTGCAATAAATAAATATTTCAATATATTCTATTAACTACTTATCATTAATATTTTAGGAAAATAAATTAATATAAATCGGAAAACAATAAATTAGCTTAAATAAAGATTTTATATAAAGCTTTAAATCGTATAATTTAGTATAATTATATATAACAAATCTATCTAATATAGTAAAAATAATATTATAGCATTATTTCAAAACTAATTCAAGCATTAAGATTGTGATAATTAAAGAAAAATAACTTTTTTCAATATTTAATCACAATTATTATTAGTAAAATATTATCAWTCAAATAATTTAATAGTTGAAATGTATTTAAAACGCTTTTTTTAATTTTTAAAAAATAATGTCTAAAAATGTTATCTTAAAATAATTAATAAAAATCTCTATTTAATATAAAAAATTTCTATATTTTATTACTCGTTTGATTTTAATTGTAAATTTATTATTCGTTTTTAATATATTATATAACTATTTAATATATTAATTAATAATAATAAAAAAAATAAATAAGGTTTTATTTCATAATAATTATTTGATTAATATTTATCAAAATGTGATAAATTTGTTATTGTTATTAAATTGGTTGTTTTTTAACGCATAAATGGCATGTCATAAAATATTGGTGTGTTTTTATTGTACGCCTACTATAATTTATACCAACTATTGGCATATCTGATGACTGGTAGGCCACTAACCTTTAATTTTTTTATTGTAAATATTTTTGCTTTTAAAAATATTTTCCTATTAAATAATAAACACGTTTTGCTAAACAAATTATTATATTGAATGAAAAATATAATGTTGTGTAAGTACTAAAATATTTTGCAATTCATTGTCTTTTATTTTTAAACTCTTATAAGAAAAGAAAGAAAGAAATATATATTCAATATATTTAAAAAAGCATTTATCAGTCAATAATAAAATATAAATATTGATATTTACTGTTTTTTCATTAGTCACTTATTTAAAATAAAATATACGTGTTATAAAACGGTAAAATATTCAATAATATTTTTTTGCTTACAAATTATGAAATTTTTTATTAACATTTCATAGCAATTAACCTTTTTGTATAMAGAAAATCCTAATTTTGAAAGTCTGTAATCACGACAAACTATATATTTTATGCAATCACTTAATAATAAAAAAATCCAATATTGTATTTAAAAAATTCATAATCATTTAGTAACTAACATTGAATATAAATATTAATTTTTTATAATCAAAAAAATTTAACTTAAGATTTACTTATATATATATAAATTAATTAAAATTGTTTTAAATAATTACATATGGAAATTTTTATTATTTAATTATAATTTGTTGATATAAACTTCAAAGGTATTGCCACATAAATAGCACTATTTACACATATATAGATAAAGCTGTATAAATCTCATAAAGTAAATTAAGTTAATTTTAAAGTTAATTAACAATTTACTTAATTAAAGCTATAAAAACTATTTCTCTGAAGATTAGGTTTTTATTTTGTAACTTAATATCAATATTTTCATTGAAAGTGATTAGCTTTGAGTTTGAATTTCRTGATATAATGTAATGCTTTTCTATAGTAAAAATCAATTAGTTATGCCATAAAATATATAAATATTTTTAAAAATAAAATAATAACTTTCATTATTAAAAAATCAAGTTTATAATCAAGAAAACATATCGAAACACAAACTAAAATAATTTTATTATAATAAAAATTACATTTACTAAGTATAAGGTTTAAATTAAATTATCAATCAATCGATTGCAAGATTAATAAAAATTAATAATGTTTAATATATAGTGCATTACAATAATAAAAATAATTTATGTCCCTATATATCGTTTAATAATTGAAAGATTGATTGCAAACATATCGATTGCATTAAACTATCACAACATAACAGATATTAATTAAATTTTTGTCAAAATTAATAAACAATAAAATATATTAAAATATTCATGAGTTGTAACAACAAGTTTTGGCCTTTCATTACAAATGTTGTGATTTATTTGATAATCACAATTTGTGTCGATTATTATTATTTTAGTTATTACCAATCTTTAATTATTGGGTTCAAAATAATCATAAAATATARTTAAATCTCTCACTTACTCACATAACAAAACATTGCAAATAARTAAAAAAAAATTATTAATAAATTTCTATTTCAAAAAAAGGTTTTATTTATGATCGACTGTATAGTTATCCTAATATTAATATAAAACTTGAACCCTTAAAGTATGTATTTAGGTATACAACTCTCATCCACTCATGAAATCAACATAAAAACAAATATTATAAAAATAATAATCATGTCCTCAATATCTATATATCTATTCATAAATATTGGTATTTTGATTATTATTTAATAATATCTTCATAAACAAGATATACTGATTATACAAAAAAGCAAAACTGAAACTTAAAGCTTTCACAATATATGCATTGAATTGAGTACATAATTATCGTTTAGATCACATAAATTGTCATTAATTTTTGCCAAACAGAATCTCTCTCTCTCTCTCTCTCTCTCTCTCTCTCTCTCTCTCTCTCTATTTCTCTCTGGTTTTCATTTCAATCTCCAGTTCCCTCTATCTTTCAGTTCACACACAGTACACAATTCAAGCGACCACATAATGTGGGCGACCTATTAAATGAGTGGACTCTGTATTCAGCAATTTGTTTATCTATCTTTCAGTGAATGCATAGAAATAGTAAATTAAATTACAGTATAAAATGTAGATCTAAAATGTCATTAAATTAATTATTTATGTAAAAAGCCTTAAAGTAATATTACCTGCGATGAGTACAATCCAGAAACACCAGCCATAACTGAACGTTAGGTTTTCCCCTTCAAATGGTATCACTAGTGGCTTACGGGGCAGTAATAATGTATAGATAGCATTGGTTAACAGCATTAGGACACCAGTTACTTGCATAGTATAAGCCCCATATCGGGGAACAGCACACAACAATATGTTCATCAAAATCCATGTCGAAAATGCAATCCTAAGTGAAAATTAAGCAAATATTGTATATTTTATAACAATTATTATATTTTATATTTATTTAATTTTTGCAATTAAAATAAACAAATCTCTAAATAATGCGTTCATTCAGTATATAGTTATTATTATTATTATTATTATTATTATTATTATTATTATTATTATTATTATTATTATTATTATTATTATTATTATTATTATTATTATAAATAATATGATTATTATTACAGTTATTACAAATGGGTTTAAGTATAATAAGAGTCCTTCGTTTTAGACTTAATTGTATGATAAGAGCCGTTCCTTCTGTGGTGTCCCACATCTTACACATCATTTTCATACAATTCAAACAACATTATTTTTATTATCTATAACTATGGCTATCATTATTATAATAACTATTACATTATTAGTTGTCTAAATACTATATTATTATCTTTTGTTAATAAAAAATAAAAGTGACATCAATTGTGATCAAACAATTGTTTTATGTTTTTAATTATATTATATAAACATATATTTTTTAATAAAGAAATTTTTAAAAATATGTTTTATTTTTTAAACTAATAGGAAAAATGCTAATTATTGCTTATTATATTGAAAATAAAATCTTAATTACAATACTTTGATAAGAAATAAAAATAAATAATTTTGTTATGATGTTTGTATTGATTCTAAACATTTATGATTTCCTTATATTAATTTAAATACAAATAGAAATACTATTAGATATCATTTAAAATTTCAAACCATAAATGTTAAATAATATATAGGATATTACAATTTTAATATACAATACAATGATTTTTCTGAATAGTCAATGAATGACAAACGAAACGGAAGTACAACAAAAAAGTTATGTCAATGAAATTAATGATATTAAGCAATGATAAAAATTCAATAACTAATTAAAGTTACAAAAATATACATTCATATATCAATATAAATTTAGTATACATTTCATATAATTTTTGTTGTATATTAAAAATACATTATAATTGAGATAAATGTAAAGTTAATCAATAATAATCATAAGTGAAGAAAGACATTAAATATGATATTCAATAACACATACATTAGGGACTCACAAATGTAAAAAACTTTATTTTTCATTAACTTTTTTAAAATTTGATTACTAAAAAATATGTATTAAAAAATACTGGAAATACATTTTTTAGTACTAATAATACTGATAAATACAATATTATTGCTTATTAATTCAATAACTTCACAATTGACTGAATGTCAATAACTGCCATTTAAAAAAATTATTGTTTTTATCCGTCCATTATTGATATTGAGTTCAAGGTATATATATATATATATATATATATATATACTGTATATCTATTATTATATGTCTATAATAAGTGTCTATTAGTTTTTTTAATTTAGAAACTCATATATGATAATAAAAATAGCAATAGGAAAGTTATTTTTGAGTTAATAAAAAATTATTTCTTAATTAAATATTGAAATTTATATATTTGATTACAATTTTTCATTATTAAATAATATCTTTTCGCTCTATTAATTATATTCAGCAAATCTCTTAAGCAATTCATTGTCAGGAAAAACTATTTATTGATTATATTATACGGTATATCTATAAGAGTGTAAAACATAAACAAATCATTTCTATTAATTCTCAAACTTTTTTTTTATTATTATTTAGATTCACTGTTAATTAAATAATAAAAAATATCTACACATTTGATACCAACATTTTCGTAATCATTAATGATTTAATTAATATATTTACTGATACAATATTTGCTCTAAATTTGTTTAATGTATTAATATTATAATAAAACATACTATTAGTATTTTTATATAATATAAATATTTATTATTCTACTATTTATTTAATTAATAACATATGATTATATATTTTTAATATAAGTATTTGCAAGGAAAAATATTTTAGTAAATAAATACAATAAATGAGTACAAATTATTGACAAAATAATAAATAAATCAAATATTTATAATAAAAAAAATCATTCTCTTTCGTTAATTTATTCATAACTATTATATATAAATATATTGTGTGTCTCTTCACAAAAAATATAATGACAATAGTGTTGGAAATTTTGCCAAAATTATTAAATTTTTAAAAATCTACCCACACTTTGCTTATTCATCTTACAAACAATTATGTCTATAAGTGTGGGTATGCAGTGTTTATGTTAGCATTATATATATAAAATAAAAATATTTTGATAGGTTTTTAATTTGACAAATTATAAGTAAAATTTTTAATATAAAATATATACTCAATTTAAATAACAAATCGTGAATTTCCTTTACATTTAAAAGTAAAAATTAATGTTCACTTAAGTCTGAAAAAATGTTTTTTCTTCATCATTCACTTTTCTCATGCATTTTATTGTGCAATAAATTTTTATTGCAAAAGTGGGACAAAACATAAAAACAGTTATATAAGCACCACATAAATTAATATTCAATTTGAATCCCCAATAAGTCACTTAAGAAAATTGATATTTTCTTTATAAAAACAGATATACTATTTATTTGTAATTACAATTAATCAATTCACATAAAACGGTTATACAAGTAAATAATTAAAATATTGTATAATATATGCTAAATACTTAATAATTTTTAAAACATTTATATAATAATTATGAGTCACTCACCACAACAATATGTTTGCATAATAACCGGCCAATCGATAGCTACGACCCCAACAAAATCCCTCTCCGTCTTGACTGAAATATTCAGCGATAGTTAGTATAGAAAAGGGCAGTCCTTTAGCCAAAGCTGTTTGAAACTCTTGTTTCATTTCAGTTGCTATACATATGAATAATCAATAAATATAATATCATTACTATTGTATTAAACAGTTGTTATTAATATTATTATTGTTATAATAGTATATAATATAATCTAAATATGAATCCTTACGTCCGATCCAATAAAATCTTTCGTTATAATCGATCTCTTCATGTCTCCTATGAATCGGTCGCGCTATTCATAGATAACAATAAAATGATTGTTTGAAAACCAAATTGTTTTTATAAATATTTATTTTTGATATTAATTTTTGATATTAATTTTTGATATTAATTTTTGTTGATACCTTTTAATGTAATGTTAACACTTTGAAGACCAACTTTAACACCAATGTTTGCGAATATCTTTTCTTTAGAAAAGGCTCGGTAGGGACTAGAGATGGAGGCATTGGCCACATGCCATGCGGTGCCACAGTTGGCAACTATTTACAAATTATTATATTTTTTATTTTATTTTCTCAAACAATTAACTATTTAATAAACTAGCTATTCATTATATTGTGTATTTAATCATAAATTTATATATACTTATATATTAATCAATCTATTTGTTATAAATGTCATGTATTTGAAGGACTGATTTTTCAGCTTTTAATATAAAGTTTGTAATTATTTTTAAAGATTTAATTAATAATTTTTTATATAAAGTTATTTTCAATATTCTAAATAAGTTGTTTAAGTTATATCTACTATTATATGTTATATTGAAAATATGGATATAACACGACCAAGGACAATTGTTTACATTTAATTCCTGATTGACAATAATATAAAACAATATATTTGTTTCCGGAAGCATACAAGTATATCCTTAATAGCACAAAATTATTGAAAATGTATTGTCAATAAATTAGTTATTTTTTGCATAACTTTAATTATTTATGACATTCATAATTAAAAATTGTTTACTAAATATATATTTTTACTTTCAAAAACAACTATTTCCTTTAAAAGTAAAACTGTTGCCCCACTGAAAAAAGTGATCATCAATTGGATCAGAGCTCATGTATGGCTAGTGGCTAGTGTTGGTTATATATTATTAAAATAAGGATATATAATATACTATAGTATTGCAATTTGTTGTATGATTATCTTGTCTTGAAGTGGCCTATATTACAAATTATATTATATAGTGACCCAGTTGTATGTTTTATGTAAAAACATGTTATCAAATTCTTGCAAACAAAAAAATCAAATAAAATCACTGTTTATGTGTAAATGCGGGTTATTATAGTTATGTTAATATTCATTTGAGGACTTACTCAATATGACAGCGCCAACAAATAAGCTTATGGTGACGCATATGAATGTGGACAACCGCTATAAATACAATAAAATTATATTACATTTTATTATTATTTTAATAAATATTTTTTTATTATAACATATAAATAAATAAAATAAATGAACATGGTATTTAATTAGCAACTCAGATTCATCAACAAAAAAATAATAATCAGTATTATAGTGAATGTCAAAAACAAGAGAAATGTCTGATTGAATATATAAATAGTGGGGAATGGGATGTGATATGTGATCCTCGAGGACGAGGACAAAGACAACAACTAAATTATAGCTAAAATCTTATTGAAAAAACTTTGAATTTCTTCTGAAGCTTTCGTTCGTGACATAGATTTGAGAGGATTTCTTACACCAAATGAAGGCTAAAATCTATGCACTTATGACTTGACTCTGACTTTAGGTGCAAAATGCTATACATATTGTGTGATCAAAGAGCTCACACTAATCAACACATTGAACACTACATTCACCATCAGATCATATATGAAGCCATCAAACAATATTGTCTCCATTTGGCAGATCATTGAACAAACATTTAATAATAATGTTAGGACTCTTAATGAGAAAAAACTTCGTTTTTTTAGGAAAACGTTTTGAAGGTTAAGCATATATATACTGTATATTTATGGGAAGATTATCTTTTATACTGAATTTAATATAATATAAATAATAATAATAATAATATTTATATATCATATATCTTATTATATTTCTCCAAACATTTCACGGACGACACTAACAAGCGCTTGACTTTCAAATTTTTATTGTTAGTAAATAAAAGCTATAAATAATATGTTATTTATACAGAATTTTGTTTACTAATATGTATTTGATTTTGTTTACAGCAAAGAAATAGAGAGTATTTATTAAAAGGTTATAAATAGCTAATCAGCTAAACATGTGCACAGGTAGCTATAAGTTAACAAATACACATTAATTTTCAACTTTTACAGGTAATATAGTGTACGTTTACCCCTTTGGGTGCAGTGGGTTAAGCCAATACAATTTAATGCTATTATGTACTGTACTTTTATTAAAATTTATAATAAGGAATATAATAGTAAGTAATAAATATTTGAAACTTTTGATTAAATAAAGTTTTGATAAAGTAATAAATATTTTTTACTAATAAAATTAAAAGAACTTTAGACAATGCTTTTACTATAATTGTATTTAATATCAATTATAATCACTTTGTTAAGCAATTTTGTGGCACAAAATCCTAACACAACTGTTGTATTAAATAATTGAAGAGTCATTTAGAAAATAATTTACGAAAAATTATTTATTCAACGAACAATCAATCAAAATAAACATTTATAATATTAAACAATCAATCAATTGATAAATAGAGGAAAGTTATGTAAAGACATTATGATAGGATCGGTACCTCTTTGCGAATTCCGGGCAAAATTATGAGGAAAGCGATGAATAGTGTGCTGAATGTTATATAAATTAAGACATTGCGGACGTCCTCTACGGCTGCCGTCCGATTGGGAGACGTGTATAACACGGGTCCGCCGTTATCACGGAATGCGTCAAACCATCCGAACTGAGACGAGGCCATTGAGTGGACGAGTAGTTACGGCCCGAACACCACTAACTTAAACACAAGTGGTTTTCTCTCAATGTTTTCAGTATATATCATAAAATAATTATTAAAATCATTGGTATTTTAATTATTTTACACAAATTATTAAAATCAAAAAATTTTATAAATAATTTAATATAAATAAAAAACTTTTTCAAAATCCAAAAACTTTTACAATGTCTTAGAGCACTGATATGACATTCATTTAGGGTCTATACTATCAAATCTGCTATACTATTCATCGCTACTATAAGTCTATGAGAGAGAGAGAGAGAAAGAGAGAGCTCTGTTAGGGAAAGACTATACAGGTTTTTGACGCCTTTTCACGTCATAATACAAGTTATAGAAAGTTATATATTTTTGTTCAAAACTATCACTCCCTCTAACTGTGAACTCAACAACCAGTTTATACTAAATTTTTAAAGTACATCATATTTCATATACATTTATATAAATTTAAAGATATTAATCTGTTTTTTTTGTTGAAAAAAAATATCTCATAACAAAATTTATTACAATATACAGTATTGTAGTTGTTTTTATCCTAAAAAATTACACCATATTTGAGGCGTTACTCATTATTTACATTATATTATGAAAACAACTATTTTAAAACATTAATAACAACAGTAATGTTGTTTATTAGTCAGTATTACTATATTTTTTAATGAAAGAGTATCTCTTAATGTAAAAACCCTTAACGTAAAAACCATTTCATTGATGATTATATCATAACTATTGTTCACTTATTTGTTGTTTCAAATCATCGATAAATAAAAAATACAGAATATTCTCATTAAGAAACGCAAACATTATTTTCATTAATTATCTTTTTTTCATAACAATTGAATAAAATTTTGACAGTTATTCAATAAATGTCATTCAAATATATCTACATTTTAAATATATTAATATTAATAAATTTTAATTTATAATGGTTTAGGAAAATTTTATTATTTCTATTGTTTATTAATATTCAATACAAATAAATTTTATTTTTTTTGATAGACATTTAAAAAGTCCATATCTAATTTTATCATTATAATTTTATCTTATTGTATGATTAATTTTTAGCTAATAAATTCAAAATTTAGGATTATATACTATATATATATATATATTATATAATTTTAGTTCACTCATATATATATTATCTAATTTTTACAATATTTTTCTCTTTGAATTGGTTTATTATAAGTATTATAAATTCTTTAATATAAAATTATTAATTTTTTGATCGATATTTTAAGTTAAAGAATTTATTTTAATTAAAATTCACATTGAATTTCTAAATTACATTTATGCGTTAACTTTACTTCTAAATTATAATTATGTTTTTAACATCTAATCAATGAATATTAAAATAATATAAATTATAATAATAACAAAAAATWAATTTACATTAAATTTAAATATTACAATTATAATTATTTAAAATAAATGGTTTTAAATTAATTAGTTAGGGTAATGACTATTACTTAAATCAAGAACATAAAACTTAATGTTTAATATCAACTCCTTTTTAAAATATATGTAAAAAATAACAAATTTAAATAAATAAAAATTTATCATTGTAAATTTCACAAATATTTACATATCTTAAGTGATTATTAATAAATACCATATATTAGTAATTTTTTATATATTAAAATGGCAACATTGATTTTTATTATTTTATAGATTGTCCCGTAATTTAAAATTGTTAGATCAAGGATATATATATAATTTTATATATAATATATGACAATATTTAAATCTAAATTAATTAAAACATATTATTATTTATTTTATTATTTTATAAAACAATTGTTTGCGGACAACAAGTTGAAGGTTTAAAATAAATATTTTAAAAGCATTTTTGTAAAACTAAAACAAATGAAATGAAATTTTATATTGAATCATAAAAACATACATTGATGTGAATTTTTCTAATTTATTTTGTTAAAAATAAAACTTAATTAAATTTAAAGCATAACATACTTCTATTTATAAATAAATTTAATCAAATATATTTGTTAAAATAAAAATAAATTCTATATTTAGATAAAATTCAAGTATTTTATTATTAAAGTTTATTAATTTTAAATATGTCTACTTTATTTATGTGTCATCAATTATGTTTAAATTCAATAATGTTAATAATTTAAACAAATCATAATTTTAAAAAATTGTTAAAATATTTAATATTGCACTCCACCCTGATAATTTTATAGTTATTTCAATATAATTAAACATCATGTTTTAACATTTATTGGATCAAAATTTTATTAATTTAACATAATTATCATATTTTTGAAATTAACCTTTAATAATATAATTAAAATAGCTTTTTACTATATTTAACTATTTATTATTACCGTTGTAATAATTAAAATATTTGAAATAACTTGTAATATTTTATATATTGATTTTTTAAAAATAATTTAATATCGATAAAATGATTGTCATTTAGTTATATGTTCTCATAACTAAATGATTGTACAATTTTTTATAATTACACAATTTAATATATTTTACTGTATGTGTAAATGACAAATATAATTATGTATTTAACATTTTGTATTAATTGAGATTAAATTTAAAACATTAAATTAATATTAGACTGTATAATAAGTAGCAATCTCATTGGTCTATTGCAAAATAATATTTTATTTATAATAATTATTGTGTAAATCATTATTTATATAAATATTAAGTAACTACATGTTATCATGGTCAATTTATGATAATTAAAAAGGCATTTATATCTATAATATAATTTATTATTACAATCATTATACTATAAACTATTTATGTATTATATTATATGATTCTATCAAATGATGGCTTTTCAAAGAAAAAGTGATAAATTGAAAGATAAAAAGCAATTCATTTTATATATACCTCTTTGACTATTGAATAAATGATAAAAATTAAGAAACTTTATTTCAAAAAAATAGATAAAAAACTTTTTATTTTCATTAACCAATGGTTAGTAACGACCGAAAAACTGCGAGAATTGCATATAAATAGTCAGACAAATGGGTTGACTGTCCTGTACTTCAAATAATTTCAGTGAATTCCATAAAATTTGGTAAAAATACCCAAATTCTTAATTTTTATTTATAAATATTATTAATTACTTACAATTGTATATATATAAGTAAATGTAGTTTTATTTAAAATAATTTATTTCATTATTTCCCTAAAATTTGATATATATATTGCAATAGGAATAAATGTAATATACGTGTATTTTATTTTATAATATAAGTTTATTGATATATGAATTAAATTGAATAAATGAACTTATCCAGGTAAATGAAACATCAAAACTAGTTTATAAGGCAGTCATAAGGTAGAGATAACTTAAATTACATTAACCTTTTGGTTTGACATAAAAAATATTATGCAGTGTTTAGTACAGTATATCCCTACCATTACTCACATAAAATAGGTTTTTGTTTTTAACTTTTACATAAATATAATAAATTTAATTTTTCTAATACTCTAAGATAAAATATTCAAATACTGTCTAAATAATTCAAGATTAATTAAATTTTAAAACTTTAACAAAAAATTGTTAGCTTAAAACAGCTGTGAAAAAACTATATAATTAAACAAATAATTAAAGAAAAATGATATTTCTTATATAAATAAATATAATGTATTTAAAAGAACACACATTTATATAGAAATTCAGAATTTATATTAAGTTATATATAAAATAATAATATTTATTTAAGCGTTTAATTTGAAGAGACGGCTTAATGAGTGTGAGAGACAAATGTTATAATTATAGCAAACATTTGTACTGTAAATATAATAATATTGAAAGTTATATACAACATACAGTATATTCAAGATTTCGCTTTTCATAAAAACCTGTCAAATGACCCAAATTTTGGTCAGATTTTCATTTATATGTTTTTCTTATACGTATAATTTGGTCATCTTTTCCTGTTTGCAAACAATTGATTTTTCAAACAATTTTTCCTAATATTATTGGCACTTAATGGCTTTTTTTCGGACACCCCCGTCATTGATGAACCTTGCGTTTAATTATCATATATGATATTACTTGTATAATAATTATTATTTTATTATCTTTTTAAAAATAAATAGCTTTCTCATTGAAATCTTATTTTCAATACCAAACATAGTGTTGAGTTAAGAGTATTTATTAAATAAATAAATAATTTTAAAATGCATTACATTTTATGTAAAGCTATTTTAATTTGTTTTATTTTTGTAATCTTTTGAATGTTTTATATAATTCTCAAACAATTGACTCTTTACATCTACAATTGCATAATAATAAATGTATATATCTATTATAATAATATTATTATAACTAGTTATTGATATTTTATTTTTTAATAATATCTATAAATGACTTTTAATAAATTTATGAATATATTTAACTAATTTTTATTGATCACAAGTAATACGAATGATATTATGTCTCAGTTTTAGTACCCTTGATATGACTGACAATTTGAATATTAATCAGAAAACAAGGACAGAGACCAGAGTTATAATAAAATTAAAAAAGTAATAATAATATTAATAATAATAATATGATAATATAATAATAAATAATAAAAAAGGATTGTTTCGCACAATTATCTCCAATTTCTGACAAATGTTTGGCTAAATATTCAAACTTATCGATGACTGGATCGATAGCCTGGAGTATAGACACTATATTTGTATGCATTTTTGTGTCAATAATACCACTGAAGACAAGGACATTGAAATTAGTACCCATTCTTTTGTTTCATCTATTAGTTTGTTAGCGATTTTCAATACATTTTCCATTTATAATATCATTTGAAATACATTCATACATTCAGGCAATTTTGGCACATAATACCCAATAACTCTATAATTAGTATTTTACTTAATATTTTTTATTATTACACACTTTATTAGCTTTTAATATTAATATCATAATAATAATAATATTATATATTAAAGCTATATATTTATATACTAATTTTTTTAATATATCTGAAGGACAGATAAAGCTATGAAATATGTGGATAATTGAG